CAAATGGCTCTGTAGCCGTCAATTTTCAAGCAAATAAAACTTTGAACCCCTCAAATTAAAGGTCTTGAAAAGACCTTTAATTTGCTTTTTTCAAAATTTTGATTGCTCCAAAATTAACTGCTGTAGAGCCGTTTGAATATTGCTAAAAAATAGAAAAAAATCGAAATTTTTCTAGTTTTCTAATAGCTGAAGTTCACTCGGAGAAACACCAATTTTTCCTAAACTCCGGGGTATTCTTTCGTGTGTAATAAGCTAAAAAATGACGTAAGTTTCGACCAGAATATTGCATCCTAGCTCCGTATAGCGGCATTTTAAATATTCAATTTTTTCGTATTTTTTTTTCTTTCATCCGTCTAATGATTACACGCTTTTTATTATGAGAACATTCACAAAATACTGAAACATTTTCCAAATACTACTGATGATTAAAAGCATCTCAAGACCTATCTTTTAAGCCCCCTAACGAGCTTATAGGTGTCTCGGAGTTAAATCTACAGCCAAATTAAGAATATAATCATTAACGAAGTTGAAAAATAGAATCGCGATTTCAAGCTTAACTATACTAAAGTGTCCTTTAATCCCCAAAAAAATTTGAAAACAACATTTTCGACGTATTTTTCGACGAGAAAACCAATGGTGACCTTGGATTTGACCTTGAACATAACCTCTAAGCTACAGCGAACCAAAATTGATTTTTCGTTTGGTGACCCCCATTTTTTATTGCAGATTTGAAAAGAGCGGAAAATTTTACGTTCAAATACATCTTTGGTTTTTTTTTTAGGTTATGGAAGTATATCTTCATGGTCACTTAAGGGCGATGTTGTAAGCTAAAAGACCTTACATAACCTAGAATAATCTCACATAAGGAATGGAATAAAATGACCCGAAATAAAACTAAAGATGTATTTGAACGTAAAATTTTCCGCTCTTTTCAAATCTGCAATAAAAAATGGGGGTCACCAAACGAAAAATCAATTTTGGTTCGCTGTAGCTTAGAGGTTATGTTCAAGGTCAAATCCAAGGTCACCATTGGTTTTCTCGTCGAAAAATACGTCGAAAATGTTGTTTTCAAATTTTTTTGGGGATTAAAGGACACTTTAGTATAGTTAAGCTTGAAATCGCGATTCTATTTTTCAACTTCGTTAATGATTATATTCTTAATTTGGCTGTAGATTTAACTCCGAGACACCTATAAGCTCGTTAGGGGGCTTAAAAGATAGGTCTTGAGATGCTTTTAATCATCAGTAGTATTTGGAAAATGTTTCAGTATTTTGTGAATGTTCTCATAATAAAAAGCGTGTAATCATTAGACGGATGAAAGAAAAAAAAATACGAAAAAATTGAATATTTAAAATGCCGCTATACGGAGCTAGGATGCAATATTCTGGTCGAAACTTACGTCATTTTTTAGCTTATTACACACGAAAGAATACCCCGGAGTTTAGGAAAAATTGGTGTTTCTCCGAGTGAACTTCAGCTATTAGAAAACTAGAAAAATTTCGATTTTTTTCTATTTTTTAGCAATATTCAAACGGCTCTACAGCAGTTAATTTTGGAGCAAAATTTATAACATGACCACGAACATAATTCAGTACAAAAACATCGCTTGTCAAATATTTCCACCGAACTAAGTACAAAAATAATCTACCCGCTCTCAGTTTCGATCGGTACGCTTGCGGAAACTATTTTTTTGCGTTTTCTTCTTTACACATATTTTTTTGTTGACATTGAATTTGTTCGTATAATCCACCCGAGGCGTCTCAAAATTGTGACGTTCAGGGGGGCGATAAATGTTTAAATTTGATGCGTATTTTTTCGACTATATGGCTCTTTTAACAAATTGGAGTTTTTTTCTCACCTGCAAGTGAGTTCATGATTTTACTGGAGATATCTTCGTCAAATGAAAATTCATCTTACTTTGAATTTTCCACAACATTTCTTTAATTTTTGCGTACAAATAATATACATACGTACATACACTATTTTTCATGAATACCTCAAGACGAACTAATTTTTCTGTTTTGATCATTTTCAGGAACGACAGAATAACAATGGCCAACGATAACTTGGAAAAATTACAGAACTTGAGAGCAAGATTTAATTTGGAGGATGCAGCAGACAGAAATGAGTTTCTCTGTGAACTTCATCCTAGGCTTATACTCACACGTTGGAAGGGCCAATTTCCAAATTTACGAAATATTTTTCAGAAAAAAGAGATAGATTGCCTTTTGTTGCATTCTATTGAGTACCACAGTAGCAGTATGAACCTACGGTTAATACAATTTTTAATTTTCACCTGCTACGAGGACGAACCTGACTTGGATAATGATGGTGGTCCAATACTGCGTCGCATCACTGCAGTGCATCAGGCATTTCACAGAAAGAAATCCTGTGTCATTCATCCACTTTTCAAAATTTATAATAAATTTAACGCAAATTACATAGACGAAAGTGGATGTACACATTTTAAAGTCGCTTGCATCACCGAATGTTATGACGCTGTAAGGGGGTTTCTTCGCTTCGGGCAAAGTCCTAATTGCCTCGTTCCAGGGAAAAATTATTCTCTTCTTCACTTAGCTCTGATTGATAACAATGTAATTATGGCAGAATTACTGCTGAGATATAGCGCTAATCTTAATTTGACCAATGTAGACAGAATGACTTTTCTGCATGTTATTTGCACGCTCAGCCGCGATGCTGGCATCGCGAAAATTTTATTTGACATCAGTGATCAGAGGTGTCAACGGGTGTTTATCAATGCCAAGGACAAGTCAGGCAACACACCGTTGCATCTGGCATTAAAATATGTAAAGATCAAGACAAAGAGATTAATAGAATTGTTGATCAGAAGAGGAGCCGATATACATGTGGCGAACGCACAGGGGTTGTCACCACTTCAAATTGTTTGCACAGAAAATTACGATAAAGAGGTGGTCGAGGTATTTTTCAAGACAAACACAGACATTCAGCAGACCGAAATTCGGGACAATTCTGTCCATAAACTGCTGCGTTTAGCCATGGTCAATCTCCGGCATGATGTGATCGATGTACTCTTGGGTCACGGGGTCGATCTGTCAAACTTCGTTTTCCCAACTCTGAGTTGCTTTAGCAAACGATTTGATGAGCGATATCGTATTGGCGAAGTTGAGCGATATCGGGAATGTGATTTTAAATTAGAACTAGTCTCCGGTGTTCTTAGCATCATCGAAAGCTTAGAGCGAAAGGGATATGAGCTAGACCAAAGCGACGCTCTGACGATAATGAGTTTGTTCGTCAGGTACAAATCGTTCCAGAAGTTGGTGGATATTGACAAAAAAAGTTGGAGGAGTCAGTTGAAGGTGCATCGAATCTTTCCGCTTATCCAAAACGTGGGGGAGTACGAGAGAGAAAGAAATGAGACAATGATGACTCCAAGACTATCGACCTACGACTTATTCCAGTTACAACCCCAAGAGGTAACGCAAATTTTCCCCTATAAGGACTTGTACAAGATCGCAAAATCATCCAATTTGTCGATTTTCCCCCAACATCCCATTTTTCTCAAAAATGTTTGTGCTTTGCAAATGACCCACAAATTATCGCGAGGATTTTGCCGGCGATGGGCCCTGGATGCCCTTTTCCAGAAGATTTTACGATACCGATTGCCGGTCGAGTGCTGTTATATGATCATCGAGCATCTGACAAACGAAGATTTATGCAACGTTTTCATCGCCGCTACAGCCTGAAGATTGTGATGTCCACCAGCATATTTTAACTATTTTTATATCTGGTGTTATTGAATTTTATAGATTTTTAACGCTATATGTTTGATTCTCCTGAAATCTGCAAATAAGCTAATTGTATGGATTGTTTTGCTGCCCTTAATAGTTCAAAAGCATGTCATGTTTTTAATCACAATTTGGTGGATGAATTTATAATCGCTTGAAAACCATTGATAAAATAATATTTTTTCTTGAGAATCCATATTATACATTTTTCGGGAGTGCTCTTTTGGAAACTTATGTTATTGCTATTTATTTTGTAATTGAATAAGTTTTGATTTGCAAATTATTTAAAAAAATGAAATGTTATATCTTTATTTATGTTTCTAACATAGCGAATTTGAACAGCGCCGCGATATGAAAAGGTGCTAAAGACTTAACTTTGAATTGAAATTGAGAAGAAAGATTTAAAATACAAAGTAATTTATGTAGCAAGTGTGTGATACTTAGTAAAAAAATTCAATACAAGTAAAATGTATAATCTAACAAAATGTAGGGTTACAAAATATATATTCGAAGCTTTGTAATGGGTCTAGTATTAACTTTTGTCAATTGTTGAGCCTCATATATGTCGAGTATATCCATAAAATATGCAAGTATGTATGTATGTGGAAAGAGTTTTCCCAATAATGGGACGGTAATAATGTGTTGAAATAAACTGCATTTTTTGTCAATAGGGTTGAGGAAGAAATTTCGGAAAAGTATCATTTCGGTTCGTGTAATATTTTGTAATTTACTAAAATTTCGATTATTTTTTAATTTTTCTGAATGGATGTGTGATTTTTATTTTAGTTTTTGTGTATAGATTTAAAAAGATGATCAGTCAAATTCCAATTTAAGACCAAAAATGTTAAAATTTATCTATTAATTACATAGTTGTATCGTGAAATTACGAATGTTATTTTTCTCTTTTAGAATTTATCTCTAAATTTTTACAAAGTTATAGTGGTTTAATGGTTGAAATATATGTGAGTAAAGATTTTAAAAACATCACTCATAATATCTCATTCATCTCAAAATTTTCTGTGATGTGTAAATAGTATAAAAGGCAAAGGTCTTCAATAAAAAATGTAGGAGCTACTAGCATGTATATTCAAATACAAATCAAAAAGTTATAAAGTATAATGATATAATGATAAAACTAATTAAGACTTATCAATCGATTGCAAACTTTTATTAAAAGTAGAGAAAAAATTTTTTTACATTTTTATTAAAAATTTATCAATTAATATCAGAAGAATAATTGTATTGCATCGGCATGTCATTAGTTTTTTACTTCTAAAACATAAAATGCAACTCCTTTTAATTGAATTTTTTTTTCGTTGTTTTAATGAATTTTTGTCATATTTGTGTTTCCGGTACAATTCAAAATTTTCTTTGATAATAATACAAATTTAACATGCATGAATATCATTGCAAATTTCTATAATTGCTGTGTCTCTCAGCACAGCGTAGAAATCCAAATTGTTCTAGGTCGCGCCTGTCGTCCCTGAAAGTTAATATATTTTTATTGTCAAAAATTGAGTTAATTATTTTCTAAATCTATACACTCACATCATTTTGATAGAACTATTTTTCATGTATTTTATTTCATCTGGACCGATGTAAATATTATATCGCAAGTAGGATCTTATATTATTCAAATAACCATCTTCTTCCAGAAACTTTTCGCAATAAAAAAATTTTTTAGCATCTTCAAGTTGGTCTTCATTGGGTATGTTTTCTTTTGGCAAATCATGCAGCATGTTATATGCCTCGATCACCTTTGGCTCGTCGAGGCGATATAACTCTTTATATTCCTCATCATCTCGATCGGGATACAGAACATATTCAACGCAAGCGACTAGTAATATGGCTAAATTTAAATGATAAAGTTCAGCTACCTTCCAAGTATCCAGTCCGAAAGAAAGAACCGTTTCTTTAAAGTTATTTAATAATTCAGGTGTAATAGTGACTCTGTTCATTGACGCAAGTAGCATAGCTCTTACAACTGCCTCATCTTCTAAATCTTCATCTTTAATGCGGTTATCAATTATGTATCTTTGTAATTTAATAGTTACATCGGCATTAAGTTTACATCTAAAATATGAAATATGGTTTAATTCGAATACAAGTAGTTCATCGAATTCTTCTAGTTCTAGTTCATCTAATTCTGGCTCCATTTTTGTCGTTGCCCCAAATTCCTTGATAGCGATGAAACAAAATTTTGAAAACTACTCGACGAATAATGTAACTATTTTATTCAGAGTACATTGATTTACAATAGAGTTTAATGTGTAATACTTTCGAGTAAAATCACGGTTCTATCAATACTAACGGTTAAACAAATTGACCCGTGGCCTCATGTCAACATCGTATTCTCTCACTTATAAACATTTGCGTATACAATACGTACTTTCAACGTCACCCCTGTTTAGGTGAATTACAATATTATCTCAATAAAAATTTCCAGCTTAGAAAGTCGAGCTTTTAACAGTCTATCAGTAACTCGATCCTTGTAAATAAACTTTCACCAAAATAATTAATGAATCAATCGAACTTGAATGATTATTATTTGAAAAGAAAATTAAGAATACGATGTTGTCACGAGGCCATAGGTCAATTTGTTAAACCGTTGAAATTGATAGAACTATGATTAAACTCATTATTCATTAAAACAACCATAAAAGATTCTATAGAAAGGAGTGGCATTTTATGTTTTATTAGTTAAAAAACTAAAGATATGCTGTTGCAATTCAATTATTCTTTTGACATTAATTAATAAAATTGTATTAAAAGTTTTCAATTGATTTTGAAGTGCTCTTTAATTTTCGCAAAATTTACGATGCCCAAAAAATTCGTGTAAATTTTTCTATTCTTTCAGGAAGCAGAGAAGGTCTTAAATAGAATTCTCAATAAGAAACAGAGAATGTTCAGTTATTACAATTTTTTTTACATTACAGTACTGTGATAATACACAGTTTATTTGTTTTAACAATTTCACTTAATTTACCGATATTAACGTGTGCAACTCTGCATTAGTACTATCCTTTTAAATTAGTGCAATTTTTGCTGTGGAGTGACGATAAGATAATAATTAGGCCTGCAGATTACTCTTACGAAAGAGCTCTTGTAAAGCTCAAAACAGGAAAGATCTCGACATTTTTTCTTAATCGATAGTTTTCGAGTTATCTAATTTTTATGTCACAAAAAACTCATAAACGGCCAACTTTGACATTAAAAAAATAAATAAAAATCGGGAATTTTTGATGTTGAGCGTGCCATTAGTTGAGTTTTGATCAGGGCTACATCTCAATAGTAGTTCGTTGATTTTTTTTCAGTTATTCTCCAGAGCCGAGTGTAACAACAAAATAACTTTTCCTTGTGCAAGGCAAGAAGAGAGATTGATTGAGTAAAATTTATTATAAATTTTGAAAAGTCTCTCTGTGATATGCCTCATGCACTGCAGTGATGCGACGCAGTATTGGACCACTATCATTACCCAAGTCAGGTTCGTCCTCGTAGTAGGTGAAAATTAAAAATTGTATTAACCGTAAGTTCATATTACTATACTGTGGGACTTAATAGACTGCAACAAAAGGTAATCTATCTTTTTTTTTTGGAAAATATTTCGTAAATTTGGAAATTGGCCCTTCCAACGTGTCAGTATAAGCCTAGGATGAAGTTCACAGAGGAACTGTTTTCTGTCTGCTTCATCCTTAAAATTAAATCTTGTTCTTAAGTTCTATAATTTTTTCAAGTTGTTGTTGGCCACCGTTGTTTTTAGAAGAATTTATGAAAAAATTTTCAGACCTCTAGGAACAAGATCAGTCAAAGATCCCATTCAGATTCATACGGCACAAGGCTTTGGAATGATAAGTCAATATTGATGAGCACTGGACTAATTTTTCTTGTTTTTTCTCTCTCTATATTAGACGCCTTCTTCTCAGAAGGGCCTGCAGGAGGCTTGGAGCGATAAGATTTCCCAATAAGGAGTAAATGTTATTGAAATAAACTGTATTTTTTGTCAATTGGGTTGAGGAAGAAATCCCGGAAAAGTATCATTTCGGTTGGTGTAATATTTTGTAATTTACTAAAATTTCGATTATTTTTTAATTTTTCTGAATGGATGTGTGATTTTTATTTTAGTTTTTGTGTATAGATTTAAAAAGATGAGCAGTCAAACTCCAATTTAAGACCAAAAATGTTAAAATTTATCAGTTAATTAACATAGTTGTATCGTGAAATTACGAATGTTATTTTTCCTTTTTAAAATTTCTCTTTAAATGTTTACAAACTTATAGTGGTGTTAATGGTTAAAATGTATGTGTGTAGAGATTTTAAAAACATCACTCATAGTATCTCATTTATCTCAAAATTTTCTGTGATGTGTAAATAGTATAAAAGGCAAAGGTCTTCAATAAAATATGTAGCAGCTACTAGCATATATATTCAAATACAAATCAAAAAGTTATAAAGTATAATGATATAATAATAAAACTAATTAAGACTTATCAATCGATTGCAAACTTTTATTAAAAGTAGAAAAAAATTTTTTTTACATTTTTATTACAATTTTATTAATTATTATCAGAAGAATAATTGTATTGCATCGGTATATTATTAGTTTTTTACTTCTAAAACATAAAATGCAACTCCTTTTTATTAAATCTTTTTTCGTTATTTTAATGAATTTTTGTCATATTTGTGTTTCCGGTACAATTCAAACTTTTCTTTGATAATAATACAAATTTAACATGCATGAATATCATTGCTCATTTCTATAATTGCTGTGTCTCTTAGCACAGCGCAGATATCCAAATTTTTCTAGGTCGCGCCTGTCGTCCCTGAAAGTTAATATATTTTTATTGTCAAAAATTGAGTTAATTATTTTCTAAATCTATACACTCACATTATTTTGATTGAACTTCTTTTAATGTATTCTTTTTCACGAGGACCCTTGTTACATTCATATTCCAAGTAGAATCTTACAGTATCCAAATATCCATCTTCTTCCAGAAACTTTTCGCAATAAAAAAATTTTTTAGCATCTTCAAGTTGGTATTCATTGGGTATGTTTTCTTTTGGCAAATCATGCAGTATGTTATATGCCTCGATCACCTTTGGCTCATCGAGGCGATATAACTCTTTATATTCCTCATAATCTCGATCGGGATACAGAAGGTATTCAACGCAAGCGACTAGTAATATGGCTAGATTTAAATGATAAAGTTCAGCTACCTTCCAAGTACCCATTCCGAGAGAAAGAACCGTTTCTTTAAAGTTATTTAATAATTCAGGTGTAATAGTGACTCTGTTCATTGACGCAAGTAGCATAGCTCTCACAACTGCCTCATCTTCGAAATCTTCATCTTTAATGTCGTTATCAATTATGTATCTTTGTAATCTAATAGTAACATCGGCATTAAGTTTGCATCTGAAATATGAAATATGGCTTAGTTCGACTTCAAGTAGCTTATCTAATTCTTCTTGTTCTAGTTCATCTAATTCTGGCTCCATTTTTGTCGTTGCCCCAAATTCTTTGATACCGATGAAACAATACTTTCAAAACTACTCGATAAATAATGTAATTATTTTATTCAGAGTACATTGATTTACAATAGAGTTTAATGCGTAATACTTCCGAGTAAAATCACGGTTCTATCAATACTAACGGTTAAACAAATTGACTCGTGACCTCATATCAACATCGTATTCTCTCACTTATACACGTTTGCGTATACAATACGTACTTTCAACGTCGCCCCTGTTTAGGTGAATTACAATATTATCTCAATAAAAATTTCACAATTGTCACAAATATGACAAAAATTTCTTTAAAACAACGAAAAAAGATTCTATATAAAGGAGTTGCATTTTATGTTTTATAAATTAAAAACTAAAGATATTCTGTTGCAATTCAATTATTCTTTTGACATTAATTAATAAAATTGTATTAAAAGTTTTCAATTGATTTTGAAGTGCTCTTTAATTTTCGCAAAATTTACGATGCCCAAAAAATTCGTGTAAATTTTTCTATTCTTTCAGGAAGCAGAGAAGGTCTTAAATGAACTGAACAGAGAATGTTCAGTTATTACATTTCTTTTTTACATTACAGTACTGTGATAATACATAGTTTATTTGTTTCAACAATTTAACGTAATTTACCGATATTTCGTGTGAAACTCTGCATTAGTACTATCCTTTTAAACAAGTGCAATTTTGGCTGTGGATTGACAATAAAATAATAATTAGGCCTGCAAATTACTCTTAAGAAAGAGCTCTTGAAAAGCTCAAAACAGGAAAGATCTCGACATTTTTTCTTAATCGATAGTTTTCGAGTTATCTAATTTTTATGTCACAAATAACTCATAAACGGCCAACCTTGACATTAAAAAAATACATAAAAATCGGGAATTTTCGATGTTGAGCGCGCCGATCTGAAAAAATGTGGGAAGAAAATAAGAAAAAATTTTTTCAGATTTTTTGAGCCTTCGCACCGCCCTAAAAAAATTATTTTCGTGAAAAAAAGCGTTTTTTCAGCTCTATATGATATATTGTGGGCGATATTCGGCAAAAGTATAAAAATCTCCGTAAACGAGTTCGTGAGTACTACAGCTGACTCTCGAGTAATTTAACAGAACTAAAGAAAGAAATAACAGAAAAGGAAGGAAAAAACATCGCAGTATGACAACATTTTATTTTGGAATACATGCATTTAAAATTGTATACGCGGTAAAAAATTTTATGACACAAAAACTCAGGCCTTTTTCGCAAGTTAACTCGTCGAGCATCTCTCTCGAAACGTAATTAGTATGCCTCATTTTCAGAAGTTACTATAAAAACGCACTGAACCGTTCCGATATTTCATTTCGGCTCGAATGCGCGCGTGACGTAAGTAATTAGAAAATCACGGTGTACTTATCGATCCTTCGATCCTTTTATTCGGAACTTCCGTTACGTATAACATGGAATCAATCTGCAGCTAGAAAATTAATAGAACGTGGTATCAAGGTTTTGCTTTTTGGGATATTGTAAAGCCAATGAACAAAATGAAAAGTTTTCGTTCTTTCGAGTACCAAAAGTACAACCAAAACATAATGGAAATTCCGAAGGATTACAGAAAGTGTCCAGAAGTAAAAGCCATTATGAGTGGATAAGATCTCTTAAACAAGGACCCTTGACTGAAAAAAAAAATTAAATTATTTAGGGTATAGTCAGCAGGCATTTCATCTCAGGTATATTTTCAGATCTCTTTTTTATAATAACCTTCCAAATGCATTTATTTTTATTAGTTTTCCCTTGTTATTTGTATTTGTAACAGGTAAGCCAACTGTACATATATTACCTCAAAATAATCCAGACTGAGTACCTGCCAGCAAAATTCTCTGTAATTCGACTAGTTTCTGGCGTATTCCCTTGTGTTTTGTAATTTAAATATACCTATACTCAGATACCGCGGATGTATATCACGGACACGCGCAAGTGCGTTTTGACAGTGGCCAAGTAACGTCTTTGATAAAAAAAAACTGAAATTACAACGATTCTTTTTGCCATAGCTAGACAAGAGTAGTTAAATCCGCCTCGATTGATGAAAGGATTACGTCTTCCTCTACATTGACATATTTTTTACTCATCTCATTTATCTGTAATTTGCAGTTAAATAAATCAACTTTTACATATTACACATTGTGGAGGCTAGTTTTTTTAAGCCTCCAGGCAACTCAGCTGTTGAATCGTGACCGTCAGTAACGCTTTCTATAAACGCACTATGATGTGTTCAATTACCATTTGAACGCACTTTATTTTTAATTTTCTCCTGTTAAAATGTACGACTTCAATCAAACAGATTTTATAAATGTTAATTTACACAATTAACATTATTATTAATTTTAATTAGAAGTTCAGAACTGTGTACGTAAAAATAAACCTATTCTCACGACGCATTTATACTAACAGTGGATAGTGTTTACAGAATTACAGAACAACCCAACGATAATCGAAGGTAACTGTGCTTGGATTTTATAATAGTATTTTAGCTTTGACACTTGTAAATTTACATATAATGGTGAACTCGTCATCTACCAGTGATGGTTTAAAATGGTTTCATCGTATATAAATAGTCTAAATTTTTTGAAACAAATCAATTATTATACGCTCGACATTCGCAACATAATTTTGTAACAAACAAATCAATTTAAGGGTAATAATCAATATTGAACATTTCCACTGAGACAGGAAAGTAAAATAGTAATAACCTTATGTAAAAACTGTTAAAAGTCAATTTTTTAACGTCTATTAATAATTGCTATAAATCACTTTTAAAAAAAACTGCAATTCGTTTACTACAAACCGAACATCTTCTCAACGTATTATGCTCTTCATTTCGTGGATTGAAATTATAGTCATCATTGTTTACACAATCCATTTTCTAAAACTCAATTCATTATAATCTTTCTTATTATAGGAATAATTGTTTACTGTTATGCATTGTTGTTTCTCAATTATATAATACCGATTTTTCCTTAATATAGATAAATATAAATCGGTTCATTGATACGATTATTTCTAAACGTACGTGTCAAAATTGACAGCTGGTAAAGCAATGCTTAAACACACAACATTCGGTAAGTATAATGAGTTTTTCATGTGGCTGAATCGAATCTGAGAGTTAAATTTATGCAGTGTAAACCTCCCAAACTAGGTTTTCTGCATCATTTTTTATTTAACTTGTTCTAATAATAGATATATCTATGAACGGGTAAAGATACTTGAATATTTATTATGTTTAGTTTCTAAATATAAAAAATGTATGCAATTCGAAATTAACTTGATTGTTAGTTTTAACTTAACGATGTACAAATTAAACTGTCTCAAGACCAAAAAAGAAATCATCGCGATGTTTGCGGCTGAACCATATGGAATTTCGTACGCCAGGAATAACAGAACTACGCCCGCGACATTATCACAAACACCGTAAATCAAGTTAATAACTAAAACCCTCCAGCATTTACCTTTGACCATTACCATAGCCGTAACCATATGCAGTATAGTAAATTCAAGAATCATCCAGAAACGGCCGGAACGAGCTCGGGCGCACGCGAAAACGAGAACTCCGAGTCTCTGATCCGACCGACCGAGTGACGGTGGGGTGGCGCATGCGCGTCGGCCTCGCGAAGCTTTTGCTGCCTCGGCGGATCGCCGCAGCAGTGTGTTGAGTGAGTGTTCCTTTCAAAACAACAAAGTTTCATTCCGCTATTATTATGTGTTGTGTACTACATCTGTTCAGCTCGCGTCTCGCGCAGTGCCATTTCGATAGACAACAATTGCAAATATAGCCTCGTTGTCGTGACTTTTGCACGCACTCACACGCACGTTTCGTCGCGTTTTTTTGATTTTAAAAGTGTCTTGTTGAAGCAGAATTCGCTCGGAGACGAAAAATCGTGCCAGCAGGAAGACCAAAGACACCTGGAGCCGATAACAAGTATCCAAGACGCTTCGAGCGCAAAAGATAATTCTGGAAACGACGCAACCGGGTCTTGGCCAGACGAAACCAAGCCCAGATAATTTCGTACAATCTTCTCTCGCACCGACGGTAAGCTTTTACGTGCCTTCGAATGATTTTCTTTGCAAGTGTGTGAAAGTAGTATTTTTTCCGCTTTATTGGCCTCCTCTTGTGGCGGAAAAATTACTGATCGGCTGTAGAGACAAAAGTCAATATTTACGTTGATTGATCGATTCTCGAGTCATTAGAGAAATTACATTTTTTTTTTTTTACATTTTTAAATGTTTGCTTTTTTATTTTTCAAAGTATATATCGTCAATTGTCTCTAACAAATGTATGTATGATACTACCTAGCAATGTCATCAATGCAATTTTATCAAACACAATATACTATGGCTCAGAATGCCATGGGTGGATCAAATTTAAACCCGCACACACCGCAATCCATATTTCAACCGACTATCAACCACACTGGTACTGGGTTTCGCAATGAAAACCAATGGCTGAGGATGCCGTATGTTCCTCCAATGACTATGCCATGGACTGTACCTACCCAGCCACATCCAGATCTGGTCAGATTCACTGGGGAACAGCCTTCCGATGCTTTTCAAACTTATGTTCCCCATCAAAAGCGTAAACTGGAAGCTCCAGATATTTTAGATAAGTAAGTTTCATCTATTATATTATTTCAGTTTATTATTTTATTTATCATTTGATAAACTGATTAATTATTTGTCTACCTCATTTTTCAATAGTCCACCACCATCAAAACAGTTCATCAGTGAAGAAAAAATGGCACAACACTTTCAAAGCTTATACATTAGTGGTAATGGTTCTAATGCTCAGGATCCAGTTCCATCTACATCTGGAGCTAGTTCATCAAATGTACTACCCGATGAAAGCATTGCAATAGACATGGATGAAAGTGCATCGCCAAGATTAGTTATATCTGATGAACTTAAAAAACTCACACAAGAGCCAATTTTGCCTTCTACTTTGTTATCTAAAATGTGAGTATATGATTTAATAGTAGTTTCATAGTGGAACTAAGATTTATCAACTATAAAACTTACTATTAACACTTATTTTTTGAAAATAAAGCTAGTTAAGATTTTCTATTTCAGGGAACGGCCCTCCATGGCTTTAGTCTTATGGGAACCACCTAGTCAGCATTTGCGGTTTTTCACAAATGCTTCAGAAGCATCATCAACTGACAAATCTGATGAGAACCAAAAAAGTATTGATAAAGCAGAGGCTGTTGACAACAATAATCAAGTAGATTTAGAGATGCAATCAATGGATGTAAATCCAGAGGATTTACCATTAGATGATATATTAGATGAAGATATGGATCTTTAAGTTCCTATAATTAACTTTTTTAAACAATTCATTTTAAAATTCATCAAATCATTATAAATATTCCATTCAAGTTTATAAAAAGTTTTAATACCTTGTGTTTAACTATTAATTTTAGTTATGAAAGTCTTATTTACAATATTTCTTGGCTGTTATTTGCTATAAGTCAAATTTTTTGAATTTCATAATTATTCAAAGTTGTTGATTATTAGAAAAACTTCAAGTTCTTTCCCGATTTTATCTGAAGTTCTTTTATAATCAAGAAAACATCTTGTAAAACTGCCAGAGAATCCGAAGTAAAGATACTTTTTATACTTCAATTTGCAATCGTTTTTACAATTGTATGTAGATTAATATATATATACAGATAATATCTAGATTTTTAAATGAATGGCTGGCTGTAAATATGGAATAAATCAGTGATGAATAATTAAAAATTCGGAAAATTTTTTAATCTTCATCGTGCATGCTTGAATTGGAATGAGAAAATCTTTTCTACCGTCGTTTGTTTAACTATTAATTGCATTGTAAATAACTTAACGCTATTACTATCGTTCATATCGATAATTTATAAAAAAGAAAAAAAATGTGAAAGAGAGGTGTGATAACGAAAAAAGAGGTACAAATTAAAACAACGTAAATGATACAAAACTGTTTATTACGTCAATTATTTCCTTTCCGATCGTCCGTTTTCCAATAAAACAAAACAAAAAAAATCAATCTATAATGATTTTACATTTTCAAAACTAGCTGTATATCGTGAACCCCAAAGCTTGTCTAAGACATTATTAATATTATTATTACGAGACGATGTATAACGTATACTTTTCTTGAATAATACAATAACTATGATCTAAGTATTATACATTTTAATGCCTAACATAGAAAATAGAGATTAAATGAATGACGAAAAAAAAAACTTAACAAAGTTCTCTCGATAATGACAATTTCCCGCTCTGCGTTTGTCTCCGCACGCGCGCTCTCCATCGCGTTAATTCACGAGACTCGCGACTTTGTCGATCTCTCCCTGGAAGATGAGCTGCTTGAACTCCTCGGCGTCCTCGAGGGGCTCGCCGTTGATGGCCTTGGCGACCTTGTTGTGATCGAGAATCGTCACGTGATTGCCCTCGACGTAGTGTATCTCCACCTTGTCGCTGGTCACCTCGCCCAGCAGATAGTCCTCGGGCACGGCGCGCAGCGTCGGCTGGGTCGGCTTCAGCAGCATAATGGGCGTCTTGATCTTGCCCGCCGCCGAGGCGTCGTAGGCCTGCACGGCCTGCAGCCGCCTGTAGACGGACGTGCAGAAGGCCGCCTGGTTCTCCTGGGACATGGTGATGCCGGGCACGTTGACCCAGCGCTGGAGGAAGGCCGCGAGCTTCGTCTCCCACTTGTCGTGTTTCTCCAGTTCCGTCACGAGCTAGATTATAAAAAAAAAAACAATCGGATGTTAAGTCGATTTCGTACATTATTTAATGTCTCATATGATGGAGATTTTTTGATTTCAGCTTAAACATTTTTTTTCGAAGTTTATATAATTTATAATTAGAAGATTTTTCATGTTGTAAAAAAATCTTTAAAATTTTTTATTTCGAGATAGAAACACTAAAACGAAAAAATGCAAAGAACAAAAAAATGTTTAAAATTTTTTCAGAGTATCTGCCTAAATTTTTTCAGAATTTTCGGGACCATTTATTGGCTTAAATTTTGATACTTTTTTTACAGATTTTAGGTTTTCTTAAAAAGGTCGGTAGAGGGTCCCAAAAATTCTGAAAAAATTTAGGCAGATACTACTAGGTTGTAATGCATATGCACGTTCAAGGGCTTCCATCTCGAGGTAAAAAATCGCAAAGATTTCTTTATACTATGAAAAATCCTCTTAAAAATTAGCCATGATTAAAGTGAGCACAGAAAGCTTCATTATTATGTTTTAATACAGGAGACCCCAAAAAAATACTGGGAAAGATTCGTCACCCTAAGCTGAAGTGGTGTCTCCTTGTTAGTAAAAGTGTACAAAAGCGTTTCCAAGATTTTATAAAAGTTATGCTCTTTTTTAAAAGTTTTATCGGCCTAGAAATTTCTACTCATTTCCAGAAAAAATGGACGATAGTTAATTATGCCGCTTTCACAACTTTTACAAAATTATAAAAACCTTAATGAACTTTTATACATTTTTAAGTATATTTTTTAAAATTTTCGTATAAAAAATAAATTGGTGATTGGTATATTATATGATAAACGAAAATTACCGCTGCGCTGTCGGCGGGCGACAGTATGTCCATCATGCCGAGCAGCACGTTGCTCTGTAGCTCCTCGTCGCTGTTGGAGGCCAGCTGCTGGTTCTGGACGCGCTTCATGAGCTCGGGCGAGCCGTCGACGATGATCAGCTTGCCGGTCATGCCCGTGGCCTCGAGCCTCCTCACGATCTCGATGGCGATCATCGAGCCGAACGAGTAGCCGACCACGAGGAAGTCCCGACGGTCCGCGCTCCTCTCCAGTATGTACTGCGCGAACGAAACGTCATTTTTATGTATAATATATACAATTATCGAATGAATTTCTCTCTCGTCTTACCGGTGTCAATTTATCGGCCATGGCATTGATGTCGGAATTGAGATCGCTCGTGCCGAGCTGCAGACAGTAGGCAGGGGCCTTGATCTTGAGGGCGAGATTGTCGAAGACCTTGCCGATACCCTCGATACCGGGTATCATGAATATCTCGGCTTTGCCCTCCTGCTTGGTGGCCAGCGGCAGACAGACCTCCGGATTGAAGTCGGCCGTGCCGACGACGCGCACCAGCAGCTTCATGCCCGTGATGACCTCGGCGTTCTTGTCGGCGTCGGCGCCGCCCCGCTTCTTGCTCGCCTCGGCGTTCTTCGCGGCCATCTCCTGGAGCTTGGCGAAGTTCAGCGATCTGATGTCCTGGGCCGTGAGGAAGAGCTCGAACTCGCGCTCCAGCGTCTGCTTGATCTCCACGGCCATCATGGAGTCCATGCCGAGCTCGGCCAGCGACGTCTGCGGACTGACGGTTTTGAGGTCTTTGAGGCCCATGATGTTGAGGACCGTGTCGACGACGTTCAGGGTGCCAGCGCCGCCTGCTCGCTTCTCCGCCACGACCATGCTCGAGACTATAGGCGCCTGCTGGCGTAGAAAACCGTCGAGCTCCTGCAGACAAGAGGATATCCTCTGCTGCAGAGTTCCACCGATGACCAGCTCCTTGTTGTCCTCCTGCATATCGGCGACCAGGCCGACGTCGCCGATCGCTCCCCACTGCACGGCCAGGCCGGGCAGACCCTCGGCGGCCCGCCTCTCGCAGATCCTCTCCATCACCGAGTTCGACATGCCGTAATTCGTCTGACCGGCGTTACCTCTTCCGCAAGAGACCGACGAGAACACGACGAACTGTCGGAGCTTGGGGCAGAGCGATCGCGTCAGATGGTCCAGATGCTTGGTCGACCAGGCCTTGGCGCGGAACGACTCCTCGAACGTCTCGGGCGTCTGATTGTCCCAGATCGCGTCCTTGAGCACCACCGCGAGATTGAAGATGGCGTCGACGGGCGCCAGATTGGCCGCGATCTCGATGATGGCCTTACAGTCGTCGCGCTTCGAGGCGTCCTTGCCCGAGACTATCACGACGTTCGTGCCGTAGCTCTTCCAGAGATCGACGCGCATCTTCTGGTAGCCGTTGCGTATGCCCGTGCGCGACGTGATGACCAGGTGCTTGGCACCGCGCAGTACCAACCAGTCGGCTGAAACGAGAGACGAGAGACGATTAAATTCGCGATAACAATAGAGGAAGCTCTGTGACGGGTCTGAAATCGACTTTTGTCAGTTTTCGTGACAGTTTGATCTCGATTATATCAGCATTTCTCGAAAAAATTTGTCGTTGCATAAAAAAATTTGATAGGTATTGGCTGTACAAGTGTGTAAACCCTTTGTCGACTAAAATCATCGACAAAAATTCCGAAAAGATTTGAGAATAATCTTCGATCAATTTTACGACACTTTTGTTCGATAAAAACTTTTCTGTTAACTTAACGTTTTTAACGCTTATTCGATGTTTAGAAAAATAATTGTTTTCTCGTAAAAAAATAAGTTTAGGAGAAAAGATACTGTAACAGAAGTATCTTAGAATAGATCAAAGAACATCCTTTTTCAGAATTTTTCATGATGATTTTGATTGAGAAAGGGTTTATATACACCCTTTGTACAGCCAATACCTATCAAATTTTTTATGTGCAACTATTTTTTTTACTTCTAGGATCCTCAGAAGCAATTTCCAATTTTTTTGAGCTTTGTAACGGCAGATTTTTTTCTGGAAATACTCATATAATTGTAAACTGGATAAAATTTGTGACTGATGTTTGTATGTATGTAGAATAATTTTTCTCGAAAACCGGACGGTAAATCCTACTGAATTAAACGGAATTTATTATCGACTATGTTGAGGATGAAGCAGGAAAAAGTTTTAATTTGATCTGTTTAATTTTTAAAAAGCATTTGAGATTTCTCATGATTTTTTGTTTTTGAAAAATCTTTTTTTCTTATTTTTCAAGGGTTGAAGTGTGTTTCCAACATTTTTTGGCAATGATTTTGGAAAGTGATCAGCCAAGATTTAATTTAAGATCAAACACATTAGGATTCATGGCCTATTTTAAAAGTCACATCGAAAAGAAGAAAAATGTTTTTATCTTCATTTCTCGGAAACGTGAGTATTTCCACTGGGTAGAAGTTTAAAAAATTGCTTCATTGCCGTTATATGTAAAAATTGGCAGTGGTTTTTTGCAATAAAAAATTGTGCGTCTTACCCAATTCGAGACCGAAACCACCGAGACCGCCGAGAATCAGGTAGCTGCGATCCTCGAGGCAGTGATAGCGCGGCAGTGCCAGCATCGGCGTGTTAGGCGCCTCGTCCTCCTCGCGTACCTTGATGATGACTTTACCGATATGCTTGCCGGCCGCCATGTACCTGAACGCGGCCTCCATCTGGTCTTTCGGGAACACGGTTCTGAGAAAAGAAAAATTGCATTAACTCTCAATTTCAATTTTGATGAATATATAATAAGTACCTCGTCAACGGCTTGATAGCTCCGTTCTTCAAACCGACCGCCATGATATCCCTCAGATGTCTCTTCTGCTCGTCCGGGGCGTTGAACAGATTATCCAACATGATGCCGTGGAAGCTGATCTCCTTCAGGAAGCACTCCATGCCCAGCGGATTGTTGGCGGCCAGATCGAACTTGCCGATCTCGAGGAAGTGGCCGCCCTGGGCGAGACACCTCACCGAGGCCTGCAGCTTCTCCTCGGCCAGACTGTTCAGCACGATGTCCACACCCCTGCCTTCGGTCTCGCGCATTATCAGCTGCTCGAAGCTGGTGTCGCGCGAATTGCCGATGTGGCTCTCGGGGATCTGGGGGAAGTGCTCGCGTATGAAGCGACGCTTGTCGGGCGTGCCGACGGTGGTGAAGACCTCGCAGCCCTGGAACAGGGCCAGAGTGATGGCGGCCTGACCCACTCCACCGGAGCCCGCGTGAATCAGCACCTTGTCGCCCTTCTTCATCTTGCCCGACAGATAGAGGGCGTAGTAGCAGGTACCGTAGACGCACGGCACCGTGGCGGCGTCCTCCAGGCTCCAGTTGGCCGGCACCTCCCAGGTGAGATTGGGATCGAGCAGGCAGAGATTGGTCATGGCGCGATTCTCGATCATGCCCATGATGCGTCGGCCGCCCCTACTGGTGACCCCGGTGTACTCGAAGCCGAGCACGCACTCCTGCGACTGCCGCGTCTTGGCCACCACCTCGACGGCCAGCTTGCCCGTGGACAGCATGACGTCGCGGAAATTGATGGACGAGTAGACGATGTTGACGAGATCGTCGTGCTCGAAGCCCGTCTGTATGGGGCCCTCGAGCCAGCACAGCGAGTTGAGATCGCCGCGCACCAGCTGATTGGCCCAGGCGTGTCGCACGGGCTTGGGCTCCAGGGCGGGCAACGGCAGATGCCTGTAGCTGCCCCACTGGCCGTCGATGCCCAGCACCGACATGGCCAAGTCCTTGTGCAGCTCGTTCGTGTAGAAGGGATTCTGCAGCGAGAACTTGGGCGCCTTGGTGTCCTGGATCAGCAGTCCTCGAACTATCTCGCCACCGGCCTCTTTTCTCAGACAGTTGATGAAACCGATGAGGCCGCTCTCGAAGTTGCCCTCGCTCACGAAGACGATGCGCAGCTGACTGGCCGTCTCCTTCTCGATCTCCTCCGTCATGATCTTCTTCATCTCGTCGACCCAGTCGAACTTGTCGTTGCTCACGTTGATCACGATCGTCTTCTTGTACATCTTCTCCTTCTTGCGCAGCAGCACGTACACGTGACTGCCCGATCTCTTCTCCGCGATCAGGTGCAGATTGCTGGCCTGCGCCCACTCCTCGGCTCGCTTCGAGTCCACCGCTGCGGCGTCCTCGCGCGTCAACAGAAAACCGCCCTCCTTCAGACCCTCCAGCAGCAGATTGAGATTCTCGGCGCGCTCCAGCAGTCTGTGGCCGACGGCCAGCAGCGCGTTCGATTCGCCCACGATCTTCTTGGGCTCGGTCACGACGACGTTGGCAGGCAGCGCGCCGTCCTCGATCTCGAGATTGTTACCGGCCAGATTGACGTCGGCCTGGATCAGGGGCATGTCGCCGAGCGCCTCGGCCAGGTGCGGCGACAGCAACTCCTCCACGGGCACCTTGTCCGACTCCTCCACGAGCTCCAGCGTGCGGACCTTGATGCCCATGTGATTCTCGAGACCAATGTGGGTGGCGATGCGAGCGAGATCACGCAGGCTGGTCTCGGCGCGGTCGCGGTGCGCGATGAATTGGTACTTCTCCAGGACGGGCTCGCCGGCGGGTTTGCGGCGGGAGATGGCGCTGGCCTTGAGGCCGCGAATCTCGACGCCACCGGCCGAGATGAGGTTGAGAGTTTTGTTGACGATCACGGAGAACTCTGGAGTGAAAAAGGTACAAAATTAATTTTCAGATTATTATGACTACTATCGCTTATTATCCTCACTCGCCGACGTTCATTCGGTAGTTTCGATTTTTTTTTAATTTCTCATTTCGATTTAAAAAAAAGTACTATAATAATTCTATATAATTATACTTGCTGTAATACTTTTATATGGTTCATATTAAAAAAGAGTTGCTAGTTCAAAACATCAAATTAAAAATACATATGTACTGTTAAAGAGTGCATTGAAAAAAATAAAAATTCTGAAGATCTTAGCCCTTTAGGACCATCCACATGAATATAAAAGGTTTCAAAGTTGGACTTTGATTTTGGATATTTTATTCTAGTTTTTTTTGGGTTCACATGTAAAAATTTTTGAATCACCATTTTTGATAAGAAATTTAAATTCCTCATCAAATTTTACATCAAAAATATTGATTCAAAAATGTTTGTATGTAAACCCAAAAAAATGAGAATAAAATATTCAAAATCAAAGTCTAACTTTGAAACCCTTTGTATCCATGAGGGATTCTTAATGTACTCTTCAAGAGTACATACTTGTTCGTTTTAATTTTATTGTTTGAATTATAAACTATTTTTTGAAATGACTGATATTCAACAACTATAGTACTTTTACTTTTTTTTAAAAATCAAAATTAGAAATTATTGAGATCCAAGCACTTTTTTTAGTTTATATGAGATTAAATAATCCAGTCGTCTCGTACCTTTGTTCTCATCATCCATAGTACGAATCTCGTTGAGATGCGTCTTCGTGTCGATGACCAACTTCATCAGACCCGTCGGCACGAACAATCCTCGGGTATCGCTGCCGAGAATCTGCATCTGCAGCATGTTGTCCATGAAGGCGACCCAATTGTTGTGCCAGAGAATGTGGCCCTTGGTGCCGTCGCACGTCGAGCTCTTCAGGCTGCGGAACATGCCGCTGTAGTGATAGCCCCTCAGGCGCAGCTCCTTGTAGACGTCGCGCGACGTCATGATCTCCTCGTCGTTGTTCGGCTGCAGTATCTTCGGGTCGACCTTCTCGGCGCTGGGTTTGTCGGTGGCTCTGACGAAGCCCGTCACCACCGCTGCTCCACCCTCCACGACCTCGAATCTGCCCGTGCCCTTCTGTATCATGAGGGTGAACTCGATGATGCCCTCCTTCGGTATGGTGGTGGCTCTGAGGAACTTGACGTCCTCGAAGACGACCGAGACCTCGGTGTAGAGCTCGCCCCGCATCATGCCCAGGGTCTCCCAGATCAGCGACAGATAGCCCGTGGCGGGGAACAGATTTCTGCCGTCGATCACGTGGCCGGACATGAACTCGAAGTCCTCGTCGGCGAGGGTGACGGACACGAGACGCTCGCCCGACGTGATCTTTTCCTGCAGACGGTACGACGTGACGAACCAGTCCTCGGAGTGCTCCCACTTGATCAGGTGGCTGAGCATCGGCGTCGTTCGGCTCACCGGATACTGCACGCGCGGATACAGCTTGTGCAGCTGCGGCTGCAGTCCGGCGTTGTACAGCTTGCCCAGACCCTGCAGCAGCACCTCGACGTTGTCCTCGTGGCCGCGACGAGTCAGGGCGATATTGGTCACCGTGGGGGCCAGCGATCTCTTCAGAATCGCCTGTAACAGTCCGTGCGGGGCTATCTCGATGGTCACCGCGTCCTTGGGTATGAGCAGCGACGTCTCCTCGAACAGCACCGGACTCAGCAGATTGTTGGTGTGATACTCGGCGGAGGACAGTCGCGCCGCTGGGGTCTCCCACTTGCTGCGCGGCACCGACGTGCTCAGCCACTTGGAGCTCCTCGGCTTCGGACTCGGTATGACCTTCTGCAGGTAGGCCAGCAGTTTGGGGCCCGCCTGAGCGATGTAGCGACTGTGATAGGGTATGTTGCTGCACGGCACCTCCTTGGCGAAGACGTTGTTGGCCTGCAGCTTGGCCACGAAGGCCTTCATGGACTCGGCGGGCCCGCTGATGGTGGCGCTGTCCGCGGAATTGTGACAGGCGATCTCGATGTCGGCCGGGCACATCTCCTTGAGCTCGGCGTAGCCGAGGCCGACGGCGGCCATCGAGCCGTGCACGAACTTGGTCTCGATGGAGGCGAGGCCGCGCGAGTAAGCGGCGAGAATCATCTGCTCGGCCGTGAAGCAGCCGTCGGCGTAGGCGCAGCCGAGCTCGCCGACCGAGTGGCCGATGTAGTTGTCGGCCTCGATGCCGACCGAACGTAGAACGTCGACGAGACCGATCTATGAGATTGTTAGAATTAGAATTTAAAGATTTAAGTTCCGCTTTTAAAGCTTGTTGGATATCGTTACCTGAATAGCCGCGATTCCTACGAAAGAATTGAGAATGTTGTCGAAGGTCTTCTTGTCCTTGTTGGTGATGATGTCGACGATGTTGATTTTGTGGGGTTTCAGAGCCGCGTCGCACTTCTTGATCGCCTCGACGAACACGGGCAGACGCATCAACGATTCTCCTATTATAATTAAAAATCAAGCCATCAATAATTTTATTTTTTTTTTCTTACTCATATAGAAATATCATTACGTACCCATTGCGGGCCACTGCGATCCCATTCCCGAGAAAACGAACCACACGGGCCTCTTCACTCCCAGATAATTCTCGATCTCTCGCGGCGATTGCTTAACGAGACCGCGAGGCGGTAGGATGGTGTAGCCTCTGTACAGATGGCCGTTGATGTCTTCCGTGTGGATGTCGTGCAGAAGCCTGACGTACTCCACGTCGGTGGGTCTTTTCTCCAACTATTACATTAAAAAAATTGCAGTAGTAGTAATCGTTTTAAAATTAATAAGTGAGCGTAACTCACATCGTCCAGAATCGTTTGAACGGCCAATTCCGTTCGTCCGGAAACGGCGACCAATCTCGGCAGATCGTCCTGCGGCTGACCACCGTTGATCTTCTCCTTCTGATTCGACCTGAGCAGAATGTGGGCGTTGGCGCCGCCGAAACCGAACGAATTGATGCCGACCAATCCTCCCTTCCAGGGCGTCGGCTCCGTGACGACCCTCAATCTACCCTTCTCCAGGGCCTCGATGCCCTTGCGCGTGTTCTTGTAGTGGAGATTGGGCGGTATCAGGCCCGACTCCATGCCGATGACGATCTTGGCCACTGAGCAGAGACCCGAGGCGGGCTCCGAGTGGCCGAGATTCGACTTGATCGAGCCGATCCACAGCGGATCCTTGCGACCGGTGCAGAACACGCGGTCGAGGGCGTTGACCTCCTCGGGGTCGCCGACTTTGGTCCCGGTACCGTGAGCCTCGACGAAGCTCAGCGAAGTGGGTGGCACGCCGAGCTCCTCGTAGAACTCCTTGAGCAGGGCGCCCTGCATGATGCTCGACGGGAAGGTGATGCCCTGCTCCTTGAAGCCGTCGCAATTGGTCTTGGCGTGCACCACGGTGGCGTAGACTCGTTTGGAGTCCTTGGCCTTCTGCAGAAAGACGCAGGCCACGGCCTCGGAGCGAGCGTAGCCGTTGGCCGACTCGTCGAAGGATTTGCAGCGACCGTCGGGTGACAAGACGCCTTCGTTGACATAAGGCAAGAAAAAAAATTAGTCGCGATAATTTTTTCATTCATCCGAGTAAAAATCCTACATTGGATACGAACCGAGACGGGAGAACTGCAGCGAGACGTAGGGATGCAGGCAGAGATTGGCGCCGCCCACAATGGCAGCGTCGCAGAGGCCGTCGCGTATCGATCTGTAGGCGTGCTCGAGGGCGAACAGGCTCGAGCTGCAGGCCGTGTCGACGGCGTAGCTCGGCCCGGTCACGCCCAGCCAGTACGAGATCCGATTGGCCAGCATGGCCCGGCTGCAGCCCGTGATACCGAAGCCGTTTACCTATACGCAAAGTTCCATATTTTAATCTAATATAATTCGTGAAAGAAAAAAAATTTATAATTAAGAATTCGAGGCTCGCGATAAGTAGATATAGAAAAAATAGTGTCAGTGGCTGGCTGTATTACACGAAAAGTTAATGAATATACCACGCGCCGTGTCATGCAAATGTTTGTCGTATTATAGCTGCGCGCGCGATCGCGAGCGTATAGTGGACAACGCATAAATTTATCATGGAAATTCACCGTGTCTTTTTCTTCGATGAATATTTGATCAGACACACATCGGGCAATCGAAGTGACGTTTTTTTTTTATTATCTATATCGAAGCGAGCTTCGATTTGTCTAATAGACGCGCGAGCGAAGATAAGATCTCTCGCTTCCGATTTATTCTAAAAAGAACAAAACGACTTTCTTCCTCTTTCCTGTCGTCGCGAGATCATATCATCATTCATTCCATTATATACCTGAAGCTTCTCGTAGAACCAGGTCTTCTCGGACTCGGAGAAGCAGGCCCCGATGAAGACGCCCGTACGACTGCCCCGGAGCTGCTTCGGATTGATTCCTGCGTCGACGATGGCCTCGTAGGCGTGCTCCAGCAGCATGCGGCACATGGGGTCCATGGTGTGCGCCTGCTTGAAGTGCACCCCGAAGAAGAGCGCGTCGAATTTCGACACATTGTTGATTTTTCCCGTGTTCTGAGGGATCTCGGGATGGTCTGTTTGGGAAGAGAAATCGATGAAAATCGTTGGAAATTCATTATCGATTCGTCGTACGATCGCGCGTACGTTTCTAAAAGTTTGTTTTCTCGTCGAGAGACTTTTGCGTTCGGCCGCAAATTTTAATGATATTTCAAATTTATGTAAGTATAAGGTCAAAATTCAAAACCAAATCGTACCGTGGAAGAATCAAATAGTCGCGCGCGTATTGTGTTAGATCGAAGTGTTGCCATTGAATTTTTAGCGGCTGTGAATTTCTTCTAGCCGTTTACCATTAATTCCACGGTTTCGTTCTATGCGTGCGCGCGTACAGCGAAATACAATTTGAAGCTATTTCGTACGATGGATTATTTTTTTTTTGCATTTTTGCATGCTTTGCTATTGAAAAAAACGCACCGAGTTTCCAACGACGATCGTCGTCCGTCACCAGGTCGACCTTGTTCATGAGATTCTCCTCGAAGTGCTTCATGTTGTTGGAATCGGGAAATCGGCCGGAGATACCGCTGATGACGATCTCCTCCTCCGGTGGCACCGGAGCCAGCTTCCGGATGCGCGGCTCGGAGTCGTAAATTTTCGTCGCCATTTTTCTGCCTCACTTACAAACAACTGTGTCGGTTTTACAAAAGTTTTTTTTTAGCCAATTATCACTGCGTGGTATCACTTTATTTTTTTTTCAAATCACATGTATAGCTATTCGAAAATTGTTTTCGCCAAACGATTCGATCGGATATTTTTAATAAACTTCAATTATAGGACTCTTTTTAAATATTCAACGAACTCGATAGATGAACGAGCTGAAGACGACTGCGTGCGTGCGTGATACTTTATTCAGAGAGAGACAAGGAGACAGAAAAAAAACAGGACACCCCCGCGGTACACGATGTATGTAGAAGACCGCGAGTGCGCGACTAAACGTCGCGCTTGCAATACTGGGCTTTTTATAATCGAACGACTTGGCTTTAAATACGCGAGGCAATTGGGCGCGCGCTTCATGGGGCAGAGTCTATATAACCAACGATGATAATTTGACTTCGATTATCGGCCAGAACCCGGGCAAGGAATATAGTGTGTATAGTAGCCAGCGGCGACATTGTTTTTTCTGTATAAGCACGTATGCGCCGACGTGTGTGCGTCGTATAATAAATCGTTTACCATTGCCACTCTCTATTCTTTTTTTTTCGACGTCGTCGTTGACCTACCAATCGTATGTCTCGTTAGAATCGGCAGTTAGCGTCAGATGACATTTGCATAATTTAATGGAATTATTTTTCGTACAGTCTCGCCTATACTTTTTTTTTATCGACGCTCGAGTACGCTCGAACTCGAAACTACGTGAAAAAGAGACAAAAAACGGATTAATTACTCCTAAATTAACTCTAAAAATAAACAACAATTGTTTTTTTCGAGCGACTTTAAATAAAATATCATTGCGGTAGTTTCGCGCATCCTGCCCGAAAGTATTTATTTATTTTTTTTAAACAAGTTAAAGTGAGTCACTCGCAGCCGTAATGAAACTGTAAAGCGCGCTTTTCACCAATTTTTCCATACAGTACTTTATAATAATCATTGCTTTGACAATTCAATTAATTGAAGTTAGAATGACCTCCACAATAATCGAAAGCTTATATATTAAAATTAAATAATTGTATTATAATAATTGATGCGCGATAGAATTATATTTAATATTATAAAAAATATTAAATAGTTTTATATTGTCCATCAATTATTTTAATATCATTATTTAAATTTAAGTTAAACAACAACTTTCATTTACTGATATGCTTTTACATGCTTTCAATAACTAGTGAGGTGACTCTTATATACATTTTTATAAAAATACAACAACTCATGATTAGTGAATATGAAAGTCAATATTCTGTGGTTTTCACCAATTTTTTTCACTATACAACTTTATAAAAATGATTATATTGATCCTTATATTGCAATTTTAATTAATTGAATACATTAGTTGAAATTAATACATATTTGAATAAAAATATTATTCATGATTTAATAATTGTACTAATATGCCATAAAAACATTGAGCCGTAGCACTTTAAGGAAAAATGAAAAACATCATGCGGTGTCTGATGCCTATTCATCAATGTATTTGGATCGATTCAGAACAATATTTTCCTCATTACAGCAACATGACTATGTTGCCGTTCATTTGATAAAAGTATGAAACTGTTATCAAATGTTCGATGTATTCAAATCATCTCAAAACTCGTCTCCGAAGTTATGCTTACATAATTGCCCGCAAAAGCTTGACTTCGATTCATTAAAAAGAACATTTGTACTATTATATATGTTACTGCAATGCGAGCGAAGTTTACTAGTGTCAAGGGTTGCCGCCGGATGCTCGAGGCGATACATTAGCATAGAATGCAGAAGCGATCGAGCGACGGTCAAGTTTTTTTTCTTCATTTAATAATTTCATGAACGATATTCGTAATCGTACGATTTCGTAAAACATTAGCAGTTTATAATAAAATATATTTAATTTTATTAGTTTCTAAGTAAATATATAACGTTGCTCGCATTTGTCAACGAACTGTGAATAAAGTTTTACGTAAAATACTTACAAACTGTTCGACGCTACTGGTGCGCAAGTCAAACCTTCTATCTTTCGTAGATGAAATAATCGCTGCTGAATATTTTCCGTGGTAGTTTCAAAAATGTCAAATCTTTTAGGATCGATGCGGGGGAGAAAATGCGGGCAAATATAATGAACGCTAAAATATACTAAAAATTACTTAGTTTATTACTCATATGTTTACACGTTACGCTTATTGTGATAAAAAATGTGAAATGTACCCTTCCAAAAATGTTTTATAGCAAACGCTGATCCGAACGATCAAAAATCGCTTATAAATATAGTCTATTGCTTTTTTTAAGTTTAATCATTATTTTTACAAGTGCTTTATCGTCGACCATTTATTATATAGTCGGCATTGATTAATTCACAGTTCTCATACTGTCATTTTGAGCTTGATTATCTTCAAGAATTACATTATTGGTTCCTAGTTTATATCAATATTTTTTTTTAACTACGTTGGTTACTACGGTGTATAATGCTGAATTCCTTTTTATTTTTGTTTACTTATCCATGATGGTATTTTTGAACGCTTGCGCGTCCTCTATGGAGTCTCCGTTGATGGCCTGGGATATTTTCTCGTTGTCCAGCATGGTCACGTGATTGCCCGGCACGTAGTGAACTTGCACTTTGTCCGTGGTCAGCTGAAATTAAAATATTATCATTATTTTCAAACTCTCGTTGACGATTTAGAAATTATTCATGAATGATCTTTTTTATACCTTCGATAATCCGTAATCCTCGAAATCCATTCTGACACTCGGTAAAGTCGGTTTTAGCAGCGTGATCGGTGACTTGATCGGCTTCACTTTGCTATTGGTATAATTTTCAATTGCCCTGATGCGGTTGTAAATGGCCGAGCAGAGTGCCTTTTGATTCTCGACCGTCATGGATAATTTTGAGGCTGGACACCGGTTAACGAACGCTTGGATTTTCTCTTCCCACGATTTGCATTTCGCCAAATCATCGTTGAGCTGATGAATTTATTGTCGTTAATATTTGTTTAAAAAATTCGATCAAACTTTATCCATCTTTATCGATAAATTATGAATTACTTGTAAACTATTGTCCGGATGAACGATATTGATCATAGCCATCAATGTGTGCGACTGCAGTTCCTCGTCGCTGTTGGCCGTTATCTGATTGCTCGTTATGACCTGCAACTGATCTGGCGCTCCGTCGATGAGTATCAATTGGCCGCTCATTCCTTGAGACTCGAGTTTTCTCACGATTTCGATGGCGATCAACGAACCGAACGAGTAACCTACTATAACGAAGTTTCTTCGTCCTTTACTTCTGTCGAGGACGTGCTGCAATTCAAAGGTTTTGGTTATCTCCAACTGATTCATATCCCTTAAAAAAAAAAATTATCGATCGATAAACTCACGGGTAAGAAATGATTCGCCATGTCGTAAACCGAGTCGTGAGCGGCGTTGCTCAGGCCCAACTGTAGACACGTGGCCGGAGCTTTGAGATTGGGCGCCAGATTGGTGAAAACGGAGCCCACGCCCTCGATACCGGGCACCAAGAAAATTTCACCCTGGCCCGTCTCCTCCTTCGTGCGTAGCCTCAGACAGACCTCGGGATTGAGATCGCCGTCGCCGATCAGACGCACCAGCAGCTTCATGCCCGTGAGAATTTCGCCCTCGGCCTGGCCGTCCGAGTCCGAGGCGTTTTCGCCCGCCGAACTGTCGACCGACATCTCCTTGAGCTTGGTGAAGTTCAGGTTTCTGATGTCGCCGGCCGTCAGAAATATCTCGAATTCTCGTTCCAGGGTCTGTTTGATCTCCACGGACATCATGGAGTCCATGCCGAGTTCCGCGAGAGACGTGTTCAAACTCACACCCTTCAGAGTCTTGAGACCCATAATATTGAGGACTGTATCGACGACGTTCAGCGCTCCCGAACCACCGGCTCGTTTTTCCGCGACCACCATACTCGCCACCACAGGCTTGTTTTGACGCATGAATCCGTCCAACTCTTGCAAACAAGATGATATCCTCTGCTGCAGAGTTCCACCGATGACCAGTTCCTTGTTGTCCTCCTGCATGTCGGCGACCAGACCGACGTCGCCCACGGCACCCCACTGGATCGCCAAGCCGGGCAGTCCCTCGGCGGCTCTCCTCTCGCAGATCCTCTCCATCACCGAGTTGGACATACCGTAATTGGTCTGACCGGCGTTACCGCGACCGCAGGACACCGACGAGAACACGACGAAGTTTCTCAAGGCCGGACACAGCTTCCTCGTCAGCAGGTCGAGATTCTTGGTCGCCCAAGCCTTGGACCTGAACGACTCCTCGAACGACTCGGCCGTCTGATTGTCCCACAGGGCGTCCTGAAGCACCACGGCGAGATTGAAGATGGCGTCCAGGGGCGCGACTTTGTTGGCCGCCTCGAGTATGGCTTGGCAGTCGTCGCGCTTCGAGGCGTCCTTGCCCGCGATCACGACCACTCGAGTGCCGTAGCTCTCCCACAAGCTGATGCGCATGCGCTGATAGCCGTTCTTGACTCCGCTGCGAGAGGTGACGACGAGGTTCTTGGCTCCTCTCAGAACCAGCCAGTCAGCTGCGAATTGAGATGTAGCACATTGTTAGTGTATCGTGTTGAATTGAATTAAAAAAAAAAATTTCTTATATTGTACCAAGTTCAAGACCGAATCCTCCGAGACCACCCAATATGAGGTAACTCTTGTCTGGCAAACAGTAATAGCGCGGTATAGCCAAGGCCACTTCGCTCTTTGCCTCATTATCCTCTCTCATTTTAATCACGACTTTGCCTATGTGTTTTCCAGCAGCCATGTAACGGAAAGCTTCTTCAATTTGATCTTTTTCAAACACAGTTCTACATTTTGGGGAATTGAATACGATAAGTATTACAAATTGTTTTAGTACGACTTATATAATAAAACAGTATCGACCAAGCTACCTGACTAAAGGTTTGACCGCTCCGCTCTTCAAGCCTTGCTCGAGCAGCTTCTGCACCACCTGCTTATCTTCCTTCTCTCTAACAAAAACGGCGTCCAACATCACCCCGTGGAAGCTGATCTCCTTCAAGAACGCCTGCATACCCAGTGGATTGTTGGCCGACAAGTCGAACTTTCCGATCTCGAGGAAACGTCCACCCCACGCCAGACAATTGACGGAAGCCAGAAGCTTCTCCTCGGCCAAGCTGTTCAGCACGATATCCACTCCTCGGCCCTTGGTCTCTCGGGCGATCATCTGCTCGAAGCTGGTGTCGCGCGAGTTGCCGATGTGACTCTCGGGGATCTGGGGGAAGTGCTCGCGAATGAAGCGACGCTTCTCCGGGGTGCCGACCGTGGTGAAGACCTCGCAGCCCTCGTGCAGGCACAGATTGATGGCGGATTGACCGACGCCACCGGAGCCCGCGTGAATCAGCACCTTGTCGCCTCTCTTCATTTTACCGCTGACGTATAGAGCGTAGTAGCAGGTACCGTAGACGCACGGTATCGTAGCGGCGTCCTCCAAAGTCCAGGATTTCGGAATTTCCCAGGACAGATGTCGGTCGGCGATGGCCACGTTGGCCAGAGCTCGACTGGGTATCATTCCCATGATGCGTTTGCCGGCTTGATCGATGCCACTGTACTCGATACCGATGACGTGCTCCTGATCTTGTCTGGTCTTGCAGACCGCCTCGATGGCTAGTTTACCGGAAGCGAGCATGACGTCTCTGAAGGGGTTAAATTTATACATAAGAGTGATTCCTGTTTAAAATGAGCTGCCGGGAATCCACGTGGAAATCCATGAGAAATCCACGTGTATTCCATCTTTTTTCATTTGGATTTTCACGTAAAAATTCAGTTGTTCGTTTTAAATAATGGATGTAAGCCCATACTTGAAATTGATCGACGCGTAGAAGATGTTGACGAGATCCGGATGCCTGGATCCCTTCTGGATCGGGCCCTCGAGCCAAGCCAACGACGACAGATCTCCGCGAACCAGCTGACTGGCCAGCGCGTGTCTGACCGGTTCCCGCTTGGGCGTCGGAAGCGGCAAGTGACGGTAGGAGCCCCAGACACCGTTCTCGCGCAGCACCGACACGGCCAAGTCCTTGTCCAAGTGGCGCGCGTACATGGGATTCGTGAGCGAGAACGGCGGAGCTTTCGGGTCTTGAATGAGAAGGCCACGGACCAGTTCACCGCCCGGTTCTTGTCTCAGACAGTTTACCAAACCCATCAGACCTGCGAAAAATCGGTATGTAATTGGAGTCTTTTTAGGTATAGTGATGCTATGTTAAGAATGTATTACCATTTTCAAAGTCTCCTTGACCCACGTACAAAATCCTCGTTGATGGATTTTCGGATTCTTGCTGCATCGTCTTCTTCATGTTCTCGACCCAATCGAAGTTCTGGTTATTGACCTGTACGACGACAGTTTTTTCCGGTACCTTCGTACGATTTTTCAGCAGCATGAATATCTCCTTTCCGTACGATTTCTCCAATATCACATCCAAACCATGAGATTTAGCCAATTCGTCGATATTTCTCACTTGTGCCGATTCCCGGGTCAGAATGAAGCCACCTTCTTTCAGAGATTGCTGAAGCATCGCCAATTCGTCGGCCTTTTCTTTGGTCAATAAATTGTGACCGATCGCCAGTAGAGCATTCAAATCTGGGTTTATCTTTTTCACGTCTCCTATCAACACGTTCGAAGGGAGAGATCCAGCCTCGAGTTTTTTTTTCGGTCCATAAATCGTAACCTCTGCTTGAATCAACGGCATATCGCCCAACGCCTCGGCAAGCCAAGGCGACAGCAGATCCGTCGGCGATACCTCGTTGTCGATGTCCAGCAGCTCGACCGTCTTCACCTTCACGCCGAAGTTGTTCTCCATGCAGAGATGCGTCGACAGCCGCGAGATCTCGCGCAGAGTCAGACTGGCTCGGTCGTGATGGGCGACGAATCTGTACTCCTCGAGCACGGGCTCGCCCGCGGGCTTCTTGCGGGCGATCGCGCTCGCCTGCAGACCGCGAATCTCCACGCCGCCGCACGCGATCACGTCGTAGACCTTGTCCGTGTAGACCGGCAAGTCTTTCTCGAGTTCGCCGAATTTGAAGTCGCCGAGGTGGGCCTTGGTGTCGATGACGAGTTTCTTGATCGAGATGGGGACGAAGAGGCCGCGCGTGTCGACGCCGAGAATCTGCATCTGCAGCATGTTGTCCATGAAGGCGACCCAGTTGTTGGCCCAGGAGATGTGGCCGTAGGAGCCGGTGACCGTCGAGCTCTTGATGCTACGGAACAGTCCGGAATAGTGATATCCACGGAGTCTCAGCTCCTTGTACACGTCGCGACTGCTCATGGTCTCCTCCTCCTGCTTAAGCGAGCCGAAGTCGACGTTGATCTTCTCGGCCTCGGGATTGCTGCAGACACGCACGTGACCGGTCACGACGGCGACGCCGCCCTCCACGACCTCGAATCTGCCCGTGCCCTTCTGTATCATGAGCGTGAACTCGATCTCACCCTCCTTCGGGATATTGGTGGCGCGCAAAAATTTGATGTCCTCGAACACCACCGAGACCTCGGTGTGCAGCTCGCCGTGCATCATGCCCAGCGTCTCCCAGACCAGATTCAGATAGCCCGTGGCGGGGAACAGATTTCTTCCGTCGATCACGTGACCGGCCATGTGCTCGTAATCGGCGTCGCTCAGCGCCACCTTCACCGTCCTCTCGCCCGACGAGATCTTCTGCTGGGACTTGTACGAGGTCACGTACCAGTCGTCCGAGTGCTCCCACCTGATCAGCGGTGCTATCATCTGAGTCGAGCGACTCACCGGGTACTGGACGTGGGGATAGAGCTTGTCCAGCTGGAAGTGAAGGCCGACGTTGAAGAGCTTGCCGAGGGCTTGCAGGAGAAACTCGGTGTTGTTGGCGTGTCCGCGCTGAGTCAGTGGAATATTGGTGACGCTCGAGTGGAGCGAGCGACGAATGATGGCCTGGAGCAGTCCGTGTGGGGCTATCTCGATGGTGATGGCGTCCTTCGGGATAAAGGCCGAGGTCTCCTCGAACAGGACCGAGCTCAGCAGATTGTTCGTGTGGTACTCGGGCGAGGAGTACTTGGCCGCCTTGGTGTCCCACTTCTCGATGGGCACCGAGGTACTCAGCCACTTCTCGCTTCTCGGCTTCGGATTGGGAATGACTTTTTTCAGATACTCGAGGAGCTTGGCGCCCGCCGGGGCTATGTGCTTGCTGTGGTACGGAATGTTGCTGCAGGCCACCTCGCGGGCGAAGATTTTTTTGGCCTGGAGATCGGCCACGAAAGCCTTCATCGCCTCGGCGGGACCGCTGACGGTCGAGCTCTCGGCGGAATTGTGGCAGGCTATCTCGATGTCGGCTGGACACATGGGCTTGAGTTTCTCGTAGCCGAGGCCGACGGCGGCCATCGAGCCGCGGATTATGTTGGCCTCCAGGGAAGCCTTGCCACGGGAGTAAGCCGAGAGGATCATTTGCTCGGCGGTGAAGCAGCCGTCGGCGTATGCGCAGCCCAGCTCGCCGACCGAGTGGCCGATGATGTTGTCGGGGACGATACCGATCGCTCGCAGGATGTCGACCAGACCGATCTGCGAAAGTTCCGAGGTGTTTTGTTTTGACGGAAAAAAAGGGTGAGTTTCGAAATACGTACCTGCACGGCAGCGATACCGACGAACGAGTTCAAGATATTATCGAAAGCCGTCTTTTCCTTGTTGGTGATCACATGATAGATGTCGATGCCGTTCGGCTTGAGAACGGCGTCGCACTTCTTGATGGCCTCGGCGAAGATCGGTATTTGAAGCAGCGCTTCGCCTGTATAGAAAAATTTCGATTTGAATTCATAGATAAAACGCCTATGGTAAAAATGATATTCTTACCCATTCCGGGCCACTGAGAACCCATTCCCGAGAAGACGAACCAGATGGGTCTCTTGGAGCCAGCGGCCGCTTGGATCTCTCGGATGGGTTTCTCGGTGACACCCTTGGCCGGCAGAATGGTGTAACCTCGATAAAGATTGCCGTTGATCTCGTCCGAGTGGATGTCGTGCAGGAGTCTCACGTACTCGACGTCCACCGGTTTACTTTCTAGCTGTGAAAGGAGAGGAGTAAATAGCATTACCGTAAACAATACTGCTGCTTCCTAACGTGGATATTTTTTAATTCAAGGGTCAGCTCACATCTTTCAGGATGACGTCGACCGCCTCCTCGGTACGACCGGTGATGGCCACGAGACGCGGCAGATCGTCGCGCGGTGCGCCCCTGTTGACCTTGAGCTTGGGATTGGACTTGAGGAGCACGTGGGCATTGGCGCCACCGAAGCCGAAGGCCGAGATACCGGCGTAGCGAGCCTTCCAACGGGTCGGCTCGGCGATGACCTTGATGCGTCCGTCGACGAGCGCCTGGATGTCCTGACGCGGCGTCTTGAAGTGCAGATTGGGCGGTATCACGCCGGTCTCCATGGACATGATGACCTTGGCCACCGACACAATGCCGCTCGCGGGCTCGGTGTGGCCGAGATTCGTCTTGATCGAGCCGATCAGCAGGGGATCCTCCTTGGTGCGCTCCTCGCACAGGGCGCTGTCGATGGCGTTCACCTCCTCGGGGTCGCCGACTCTGGTGCCGGTGCCGTGAGCCTCGATGTACTCCACCTCCTTGGGTGGTATTCCGCACTCCAGATAAAATTCCTTCAATAAAACTGTCTGCATGCGGCACGATGGGAAAGTGACGCCCTGCTCCTTGAAGCCGTCGCAGTTGAGCTTGCCGTGGACCAGAGTGGCGTAGATGCGCTTGGCGTCCTTGGACTTTTGCAGGAAGGCCACGGCCATGGACTCGCTGCGCACGTAGCCGTTGGCCGACTCGTCGAAGGTCTTGCAGCGGCCGTCGGTAGACAGTACGCCTAAAAAAGATATTGATCGAGATTTTGCAATTTTCCGGGCAGATTCTAAATACTGTAAGAAAAATTACTATGTTCATAGTAACCAAAATATATAATCAAAAAGTATCGTAAAAATGATTACATTTTTTTACATAGTATAGTTGGTTATGAAATAGTAGTTTTTATGATAATTTCAGATACAATGAACTTGGTAATTTTTTTTCGGAATAATAAGAAAAATGATGCCAATCTCACCGAGCTTGAAAAATTGCATAGACACAAACGGATGCAGACAAAGATTGCCCCCACCCACCAGGGCCGTATCGCACAGACCCTCTTTGATGGCCCTGTAAGCGTGCTCGAAGGCGTACATACTCGAGCTGCAGGCCGTGTCGATCGTGTAACTCGGCCCGGTCACACCCAGCCAGTACGAGATCCTGTTGGACAACATGGAACGGGCGCAGCCGGTGATACCGAATCCGTTGACCTGAAGCTTCTCGTAGAACCAGGTCTTCTCGGACTCGGAGAAGCAGGCCCCGACGAAGACGCCGCACTTGGTGCCTCGGATCGCGCGCGGATTCACGCCAGCGTCGATGAGGGCCTCGTAGGCGTGCTCGAGGAACATGCGACACATCGGGTCCATGGTGTGCGCCTGCTTGAAGTGCACCCCGAAGAAGAGCGCGTCGAACTTCTCGACGTTGTTGATCTTGCCCGTGCGCTGCGGGATCTCCGGATGATCTGCGCGGGGGTGCGGATGATACGAAACATTATTTTCATTGTATTTTCTTTTCTTTTTCTTTTCATTTAGGGGGATTTTTTTAGCAATTTCAGCGAGGAGGATAATGTGACGAACGAGTGTAAAAAAATTTGGAAAAAAAAGAAAAAAAAATTTCCACAAAACTCCGTGAGTTCGATTTCAATACGGACGAGCGAGAGTGAATATTTTTACATTTCAAATGTTTGGAAAACAATACTCGCCTGAAATGTCTCGGTTTCACACAAAATTGGTAATTTTTCGAATACATGAAAATTTCGTGAAAATTATTTTTATCTTTGGAACCGATGTATAAATTTCATTTATTATCTAATTATGAGTTTTCAATTATTCAATTATTGGTTCATTGTCAAATTTATAGCTTTTTCTTGCATAGTCCTTTGTTCCAAAATTTTCGTGCCACTTCGAGAAATTAATCAAATAAGCAATAATAATCGTCTCGTGCAGAATTAGACTCATAAAAAATTCATCGTCGTTTGCGAAATTACGAAAGTATTATGAAAAGTTTCATTTTGCGCTCTACACGAGACCATATTGCACGTGTATGAAAGCTGGCTCGCAGCATAGCTCGCGTGCATTTGCATCCCTGAAATTACATAAGCTCCGCGCTCGCTCGTTCGTTTTCTTCGGTTTTTATTTTTCTTTTCTTCGTAAATGCCTTTTTGTCAGCCTTACCTAATTTCCATCGGCGATCGTCATCGGTCACCAGATCGACCTTATTCATGAGATTCTCGTAGAGCTCGTTGCAGTTGTTGGAGTCGGGAAATCTTCCGGCTATGCCGCTGATCACGACCTCGTCCTCGGGGGCGACGGGGGTAACTTTTCTGGGACGGATGTCCGGATCTTCCAGCCATTTCTTCGACATGATGCTCAATAAACACTTTGTCTAATTTTAAAAGTTCAAAACGACAATTTTGACAGTCTCGTATCACACAATCAGACAATTTTCTGTCCTTCCTCGCAAATATACAATCAATGTCACCAAATTAAGGAACAATTTAGAAAAAAGAAGTAGCAGTAATTGCCGTGGAGCACCAAAACCACACTGATGTTGTTATATATGTCTATATATCACGCAAGCTTTCGACCCATGAGAGTTGACTAATATCGGGGGTACATTTCACTTCTCGGCCGAAAAAAAAATAATTAATCTCTAATAATATTATCCTCCGTCCCCAAAGTTTTCGTCGCGACACACTTGTTGTTAATGATTATAAACCGAATCGCGCGGAAGCCAGCAGGTACTTTTATAACTGCGTTTTCTCCCACCTGTCACACACGCGTATATTGTACGAACGTTGCATTTGCGCTTTGCTGTCAATATATCACACTCTACATATAGGAGTTTTTCGCGTACATATAGCCGTCTATGTGGGTAAAGCTCAGAGCCGCGCGCGCGCTACCTGCCTGACGCTGCTTTGTAACGACGTTTGTCCAAGGTTCGCTCTCGGTTTTCTCGCGCGAGATTAGCGCGCGTGCCTGCCTCTTTCTTAGCCGTCGAGAGAACGTCGAGAGCGAAGCTTGTTTGCAAAACTATAAAAAAAATCGCTTTTTCTCCTTATTTTTTCTCAATTGCAAATGGTAAGTACGTAGCAGCGCAGTAAGAATTGTTTAACATCGGTAAGTGAGGTCATAAACGGAGAGCTCTCTGCTGCGCGGGTACTTTTTTTTTTGTTGCCCGCGTTCGGCGTTATTTTGGAATAAATTTGTTATAAATTTTAGGCATCGATGCCTAGCTTCGTTTATGCTAAAGACGACGTGTTATTTGTAAAATATTAACATTTTTGTTCGAGACATTTGTTGCGACTCCGAATACAAACTTTTCCGAGAAATGCAGAGTAGCAGTTATGCATTATTGAGGTGTTTGGTAAACGCGTGATATCTCGCCACTCAAAAAGGCAACAAAGCTCGCGCATCTAATTTGAGCATCGAAGCTTTTGTTAAGCGATCGATTCCCATTACCAAGTTTATCAGAATATTCTTGCAACCTTATGGCAATTTCAAAGATGTCATATCTCTTTTTTTGCTGCATGATTTACGAAATCATTTTAGAATTTACGAGCTGTGCAATTTGCATTAACGCTTGCAAACAATTTCACTTTGACGCACGAGGAAAGAGCATCTATCAGAATTATTCAAATACTTCGACGCTGCTCTGTTGCTTTTCTAATTCATGACACTAACGACAGCGATACAAAGTTTCAAAATTACGTTCTCTCTCATTGGCGCAGAAAAAAACATCGCCTATATAGACTATACAGCAGTCGCGATTCGGGCAGCAATAGTATTGGCGTTTTTCGCATGCTCTTGAACGAACGAACGTCGCGTGCAGTTGTATTGTCCATAGTGTCAAGGGTTGCCGGATGTGGCTTGATTTGAATTTTGTATGCAGCGCATGTATGCGCCAGCGGAGCTCGCGCTGTCGAAAATTTCGACAATGCACGGCTCATTGAATAAAATCTTGCCTAAAATCGCTCGATTTGTTTGGCGAAGCCTAATGCGTTGTTGAGGGCAATTTTATTTCTATTCCGAAGCTAATAAGTTGGGCCGAGCTCGTTTGCTGAAAAAAAAGTAGTTAAAGGATTTTACGTAAGAACGATTATAATTCAAACAAGTGCATTTGAAAATGGAAATAAAACTTACATATGAGAATTTTAAACGTATTGTAAAAAATGTAGCGAGAGTGTCAAGTTGGAAAAACCCGATATTATTAAAATTTCTTTTGATTGTTAATTTCGCATCGCGTTACTGCTCCTATCAGAAGAATATACATAAATTATTGTAATATACAGGTAAAATTAATCAAATATTTTTATATAAAATCCATATATTTCCTACCAAGTTCATCTTATTTAATTACATCAATTATTAATTTATAATTTAAATGGATGATATATTAACAGATGCAACAATTTGTACAAAAAAGTCATATAAATTAAACATAAACTAAGACTATTTAATTAACTATATGAGTATAATAGTTATTTGTTAAATGAATTGGCAAAATGAACTGACTTTTTGCCTTGTCCATCAAGAACTTCCATGAGACTTGATGTAAAACTAAATTCGGACGAAGAACTGTCATCATTTTGAGACCTAAAAATATGAAAAAAATAATATTTATTCAAGCTTTCAAATTTTGCAACGATAAAATAACTAAATTTATTTTTCTTACAGTGAATCAAGACTAGTCATGCTACCACTGTTAGTCTGTGCATTTGAAACTCCTTCGATTTTCAAAACTTCCAAAATTGAATTAACTGTCGATATATAAATACCGCGAGGTCCAGCTAATCCTAAAAATCTAGGATTGTTAAGTTCCATTATACTTCTCTCAGTTGGCGACGACGGAGATTTAAATGCCTTTCCGTCAATTTTGATTATCTCAACAGATGTAAAATGTACAATGAAGATGTATGGTTTCCGATAGGCTGAAATCAGAATATTAAGATTACTATGATGATTATTCAATTGTTTCATCATTGATGTACTTACCAAATGCAAAAGGTAAATGACTCCAAGTTGGATCTACGCCACGGGTTCGTTGACCGTGTTCATTAACAAAAACGCCGAATTCGTTATAGCAGAGCAAGAGTTCAACGTTCTTAGAATTACCCGACACATTGAGGACGTGTACGGGGAAGATGCCAAGTTTGGCAACACCACATATCGCAGCTTTCACTGAGCTGTCGTCTTCCTCGGGAAATTCTGTAATCGGTATAATACAACGATATAAGCTTATTTTGAATAATTAAATGAATTGAATTAAATTTCGTTCAATGCCAAGTTGAAAATTTGCATGTTGCATTTTTTCTTTGTATATCGATAGACTTTTGAGGAATTTGAATTGATAATCTTTTGATAATACATTATAATATATTTTATATCATACCGTCAATACTGTAATCTTTGATGTCAATTTGGAAGAATTTATGACATCCGACAATGAGTAAATTATTTACGAACAGGGCGCAACTGCAAGGGTCCTGCGTCTCAAGTTCTCTGACTGTGATGAATTCTCCGGATTCTTCAGTGTTATTCCACTTAAGTAAACTGTAGTAGGAAAAATTTTGCTTTTTATAACATATTCACACAAAGAAATAATGGAGTAGAAAGTACAAAGAAACATACATCACGTGACTGGCAGTAGCGGCACAAAGCATGTCACCCTGAATTTGATAAAGGTGGCAACTTTCTGACCCGGTAAGTACAGTTTTAGTTGTGATAGCTGGTCTTGAACATTCTGCAGCTAATGCATTGCTACGAAGTTGACGTAAATCGCATGTAACTAGCTGCCGGTCCTCACCGGCAATCATTAATGCTTGGCCAATTTGAGGATGTAAAGTTAACTGATAGACTTTTTTAACGCCACGAATTGCTGTTAGACATTTCGACTTGCCAATTTTGTACGAGAAAAGACCTTCTTCTGCTCCGAAAAGTAATACGTTATCTTCTTCCAATTCAACCGCAGTATTAAGATCCAACTAATAATTAAAAATTTTGCTCGTTATTGAATATGTTGGAGGTATACATTTTTAAGAGAGAATTGTAACATTTTTTTAGAAAAATCGTATGTCTAAACTGCACTAAAAATATTTAACTGCAAACGATGTAAACATTTGTCAGTAAAATAAATTTAGTATTCTGCATTCACGAAGTTCCGGCTCAAATCATTACGAAGACTGAGTAACCGTGACCTTTTCACCCGTAAAAATTAACTCCCAACTGTGATGTAAATGGTTTATATTTTGACGAGTGAGGTCAATGTTGTTTTATAGAATAATATTAGCTTATTATTTTAATAAATTCACTTATTTGAATGTATCAAATTTTTTTCAACAAACGTTTCCATGAATTAGATATAACATTTTGTTATTTACCTGTCGCTTTTCAAGCCGAACGATTGTTTGGAACTTCTCAGTTTTTCCAGCTCTACTAGACCATGTCCTTAGAGCTTTTAGCCAATTTTTCTTATCTAGTTGACTTAATGCCATTATGTCCAATCGAGAATTAGGCCAACACGTTGTCGCTGATTTTGATTCAAGTCTTAAAATAAAAGGCATATCGGACTTGGCAGTACCAAGAACATCAGCCACTTGTACATGTTCGCTAACGATAAAACCGTCTTTCTCCGACAGATCTAATTTTGAAATCGGTGACATTGAAGAGTTCGTAGGTTCGTGTTCATATGTACACAGACAAGAACCTTCAAGTCGCAGGTATTTACGCTCCCAACCACCCTTATTGCGACTTGGAATTTTAACCCAACTTTCCATTAAGACTGAACTATCACTAGGTTTCTTCTGACAATCGGTATCCTGAAATAAGTTTGAGTGGTTAATTATACTTGATATAAAATAATTATTCATCATAATATTCAATAAATCAATTTACTCTTTCAGGGATGTTATCAGGCTCGTCAATAGCTAATGTTTGAACGCTACCGCCAAAACTGGATATGCTTTCGTTGCTACCTCTGAGATTCTTTGCTAGCTGTTTGCTGAATCCTCCCGGTAAACCACAATTGGCAGGAACAGCTACACTACATTTTAAGTGACACATTATTTGACATTCGCTGCATATGGCTGCTCGCTTTCCAAATTGTATCGATTCCGAGCAAGCAGTACATTTTCCAGTTCTCATTGGTAGGCTCATATTAAAACGATGCGGAATGTTGTGACGAATTCGTTGCATTGAATGTTGACGAGTGACAGAATTATTTTGTTCTGCATTGTTAGTTGTTTGTGATGTATGTTGTGGTTTTACAGGTGAAACTGGATTTGAATGAATAGGGGTTGTTGCTCTTGTAGCTTTTATTGATAATAATTGTTCTGTCAGCGTTTTTACTTTGGCTCTTTCGCTTTCTACGCAAATGAGATAATAAATTATGAATTAAAACTTTTTCTATCTATAGGGGATTTAAAAAATAAGAAATAATTAATGTACCTAGTTGATTTTCAAGTTCACGATAGCCAATTGGTAAAGCAGATGGATTAAGAGGTGGAACATTTTCCTTTTGTTTGCCAAATATTTTGTCGCATACACCCTTCTTCTTTTTCGCAGCTTCTTCAAGTTTCAACTGCAGATAGTCAATAAGTTTGGTTTGTTGCTGTTGAGTACTTCCAGATTTCATTTCACGCTCTTCGTAGAAATGACGCATGTCGTCGAGTACATCCTCTGTTAAAATTTGAAGAAAATATTGAATTGATAAACACTTAAAGAATATTTACTTAAGGAGATCCGTACCCCAGTCCAAAACTCAAAATTTTGATCCAGTTTTCTGAAACTTGTAGTGAATATTTCTCTAAATGGCTCTATGGCGACCTTAAAAATATCAAGATGAAGGTCGCCATAGAGCCATTTAGAGAAATATTCACTACAAGTTTCAGAAAACTGGATCGAAATTTTGATTTTTGAGCCGAGGTACCGATCTCCTTAATTTCAATACATTTCAATTTTAAAACCAAATTTAGTTATAATATAAAAAATAATTACCTAATTCCATAACGCGGTTTCGTAAATCTTGTCCGAGATCCACACTTTGTTGCAAATCCATAGCTAGTGATTCGTTTGCTTCTTTTAGCTCGTGTACTTTTGTAAGATACTGTGTACTTTCTTCTTTCACCATCCTAGCATCTGCTTTAGCTAGTTCAAGGCTTCTTCTCACTTCAGAAAGATCTAATTCTAACGCTCCACACTTTTCTTGAAGCTCAGCAACCTGTGTAGGGGAAAAATTAATACTTTGCTCATTCTCAACTCTACAAAGAAGAAATCAAGATAGGAAAGAAAAATATAAATAGTAATAGAGTAAATTTTAAAAATAGGAAAGTAAGAATAAACATATACAAGGATAAGAAAATTACCTGTTTGGTCAAGTGTTGAGTCATCTTTCGATATTGATCACGCTGCTGAACGAGTCCATTACGTTCCTCTTCGATGTCACTCGTTTCGGACTCTAAGCGTTCAACTTGCTTCTCTGCGCGCATTCGCATTGCTTTTTCTTTGTTCATCTCGTCTCTCGCTTCTCGTAATTTCATTTCAATCGTTTCAATATCTTTTTGAAGCTTCATTTTTTCTTGGATGAGGGTGTTCTCTCTTGTTTCATGATTACTCGTTAATTTCTCGTAATCGTTGAGTTGCTCTTCGAGTACAGAGCATGTCTCTTTCAGTAATTCAATATTCAGCTAAAGAAATAAAAATAAATGTTTCAACTCTATCATGCGATAAATTTTAGATAAAGAACGTATATTTACCTGATAGCCATTAGCTTCTTGCTGTAACTTTTCAACCTTTGCGTCAAGGTCGTTATTTTCTTCGTTAAATTTAGCGACGCGAACGGAAAGACGCTCTTTTTCGCTCTGTAAAGCATCATATCGATCTTGACTCGATCGCAGCTGTTTACGAGCCGAATCGAGTTCTCGCCTAAGTGATGCGCTCGAAGACTGCAGCTCTTCGACTTGTTTGTTAGCCTGTGTAAGAGCCTGAAAAATCATAAAGGCAATTTTAAAATTTCAATAAAACTTATGAATAATAACATTTAAAAAGTAAGTAGTATCTTAGTAGTAACTAGTATATTTACCCTTTGTGCTGAATCTGCTTGTAATTTATTTCTGGATGCCTCTCTTGTAACGTCGGCAAGTTGAGTTTTGATTGCTTCTAGTTCTTTCATGGCTTTCTTAGCCTTTTCTTCCTCATCTTTTATTTTGGTACTCAATCTTTCATATTGTTTTTGTTTTTCTGCTTGCAGATTCTTCAATTTTTCTTCAGCTGTTTTAGCTTCACGGGTAGCAATTCTTTTATCCAAGTTTGCATCATTAACCTCCTTTTCTTTTTTCCAAAGAGCTCTCTGAGCTTGTCTAGCTGCATCTCGGTCGGCCGCGGTTTCCTCTCGAGCAGTTTTGAGTTGTTCTTGTAAACTTTCAATTTGTTTTTCCAGACTTGTAATTTTAACAGTATCTTCTATATTCGAACCTGATCTTCTGTTCAGAGAAGAACGGCTTGGAAGTTGACCAGACTTGAGACTAGCATTTTCAGCTTCTAATTTAGCGACGCTCTGTTCAAAACGCCTGAGAAGTTCTTCAAGATTATTGACTTTCTTACCTTGCGCCTCTGTTGGTTAAAATTAATTTTTGTAATGAACAGTTTTACATATTTTATAAACGATAGCAGCTGTTGTAACAGCTGTAATTAGAATAGAAGAAAAAGATAGACCTTCTTTTTGAAGCGACTTTCTTAGCTGTTGTTCTAAAATATTTTTATCTTGCGTAGCTCTTTCAAGATTAGCTGAGAGAGTTTCATTTACTTCCATATTCATGATAGTTTCACTCAAATCTGTTTTTGTTGCCTATAATAAATAAAGATATTAATTTAGTATTGTTAAATGCAAATGTTACAAATAAAAATGGAACTGCCTTACTTCTAATTGTTGTTTTAATTGATTATTTTCCATAGTTATTCTTTCTATTTGCTCTTGTAGCGTTACAACCAATTGTTCCATACTACTTGCACTTTCAAGTTGTTGAGTTTTTTCTTGTAGTTGATGTTTAAGATTTTCAATTTCTGCATCTCGAGCTGGAATGGTTGCTTTAAGACTGCGCAGCTGTTCTTGACAATCTTTAAGTTCATTCTGATTAAATTCAAAAGCAACGTTCAGTCTTGAAAGTTTACATGTATTAGACTCCTCTTCTTTTCTCAGTTTAGATTCTAATTCTACATTTTTTGCAGTTTCTAATTCAAGCTTAGTCCTAAGTTCTGCTAACTGATTATGAGCTCTATTAGATATTTGTTCTAATTTGTTTTCTACGCCAACTTGACTCTGACGATTCAGTTCACGCATTTTGTTGAGAGATTCCTTGTATTGTACCTGAAAAATCATTCAATTACAACATTTTTTTCACGATTAATTGTTTTAATAGACAAATATATTTTTTTTAAATGAACCTGGAAAATTCTTAGTTTATCTAGCTCAGCATTGGCAGTGTTCAATTCTGTTTCCATCCTCTGCAACTTGGAGCTCATTTCATTATTACTTGTACATAGTTCTGTAATACGTACAGTCTGGGATTCAATATGTTTATTGAGTTGTTCAATTTTATCTTTTTCTGCATTTTCCCACTTTCTCTTAGCACTTTTTATAAGGTTCAATGCTTTTGATTCAAGTTCCTTTCTTTCTTGACGTTCTAAATCTGAAGTGTAATAAAAAATTATAATACTTTTCAGCTAAATTATTAGCTAATATAATTAATAAAAAATGTAATAACATACCTAAAGTACGTTTAACCCCTGCTAATTCAGTCTTTGTTGATACAAGCTCCCTTTCGAACTTATCCCTCTCTCTACTTGTGGTTTCAAGACGTTTGTTGGCATCTTCCAACTGATTTTCTAAATTGTTTCTTATTCTGTAGTTTGACTCAGCCTTGTCTTGAATCTTGAGCAATTTTTTTGACTGCTCCCTCACCTCCTCCAGCTCTTTCTTTTTATTTTCCATATGAATCTCCATTTCTATCTTATCTAATAATTTATTTGTCTTTGGAATGCAAGGAATCATGAAACATTTACAAAAAAAAAATACATAAACATTATGACAATGTAAATATTGACGATTGCACAGATTTTTCATTGACCAAAGAAATACTATTCAATGAAAAAAATGATGCCATTTTTAAATGTACAACTATCAAGAACCAACGGACATCGGATCCGGATGCGATGATAAAAAAGTTAGAACAAAAAAGTCTCGAAATATTAAATCCAAACCAAGCGCATATAACATTGCATACAATTCATGCGTACATTAAAAAATCACGTCGGGTACAGAGCAAAAAAAAAACCAGTTTCCCCGCCATCCCCGCGCCACGCAACTGTCGCATTCAGCATAGATTTTCTCCTTCGTTTATGTACGTTAAAAAAAAAATCAACACTCGCACTCGCGCGAGAATGCCATGCATCGAGATGAGAAATCCGGAGATCAATCAATATTTAAATCCTCTCACCATCGTGCAGCGATCCCTCTTTAACAGCCCTCCACACATTCACGTAAAACAATCGTATATGTACACAAACGTCATCGGCGTGTGTAAAAAGGCGCTAAAAAAAAAAGCTGCTCCCCGCAAGAGTTTGTATACACCGGTCGCCGCCACTGCTACTAACCTCGTATTTTCGAAGACAAGCCATGGTTATTTGCGTTAGATCGAGCCTCCGAATTGCAAAGGATTCGTCCTTCCGTTCGTTCGCCCTCGCTTGATTATCTCGTATCCCGAATTATCACTGGAAATTCACCGGAGTTTCAGAGTAGATCAGAAAATGCGCCGCGCGACATAGGCGCGCCACAACAGATATACGTTACTACACTGTATACTATGTTTCTATACACTATTGCAGGCAGCTGCAGCGGCACCAGCAACCGCTCAAACTCTCCGCGATGTTGTTGTAACGGTCGCTCGCCGGTGGGTCGTCGCCGCTCTGTGTGTGCGGCGCAATCCATATCTATATATGTATATCCTCCTGTGTGTGTGTATAGTTCGAGCGCGCCAATGCACGGCAGCGAAAACGATACGAAATTTCGAATTCACCTCGGCCGGTGGCGTTTCACGCGCTCTCATTGGTTGTGGTTCGTCGGTGTGCGTGTAGCGCGCACCACTACATTCAAAGTACACAGCGTGCAAAAGTTCGTTCGATCCCGCCGGTGCGTGTAGGTAAGAACGTTCGGTGACCGGTCACGCAGGAGTTCGTTGCACGAAATCGTTTCGAAGGCGCAGTTTTTTCGTCTCGATTCGAATCGACGTTCGGTTGTAAATGGACGTTGGAATAAGTTCGAGTTTTTGCAGTTTTTGGTTATCGGCGTTCGAGGTAGTGGTGATTCGTGTTGTTTCATACACAGTGCGGTTCATTATTTATTCGTGATTACAAAAAAAGTGCGTTATCTTAAGGACTTATTTACGGAATCATTAGAAAGGTTAATAAAAAGCCATCGATGAAAATCGATACGCAACTGTGCGACCGGCATTTTCTCCAGTGTAAACTATCCAAATAGAACCGATATAATTATGTACAAGTCGAAAGTGCCACCGTAGCGAAGATTAATGCAACATTAATGATAGCCGCGCGCGGCATCATAATAATAATTACCGGTTCCCGGCCGGCGCGAGAGATATTCAACCGCGTAAAGACGCTGCTGTAAGACGATGAAGACAAGCCTCGAGATGTAGCTACAAATTAATCCATCGGCTCGGCTACGCGACTGTGAGTACATAAACATGCCCCCTCGACTATAAATTAATGTGACATATTAAACGCTGATTTTCGACGACGACGACGACGACGACGCACGTTTTTCTCGATCGAGCAAATTACTTTTTGATTGTGGAAGACGAGCGGCGCGTGAAAGTTTCGCTCGCTCTCGAAGGCGCGCGCTCGAATCGCCAGCGTATAGCGATAATTTGTTCGAGTTGTTGCTGCTGCTGTTGCTGCAGTGTGCGAGAATCGCAGCATTAAACAATTATAAACGTGATTTTTATAAATTGGATTTTGTAACCTCCGATGCAATATTGTACACACGATTCTCGCATCCAATCCAGATGAAATATCTCGTTTTGATATCATTTCCAGCTGCCAAAACACCGTTTTCATAACGTTCATTGTTAATTCAACAAAAACAACTCTAGCAGTGAAAAATTTGCGGCTATTATACCATTGAGACACTGCGATACATCTCGGCTGCGTGCGTTTTATTGAATAGAGACAATCGGGCCCGGCGGTGCAACGAACAAATACATATAATTCGATACCAGCGCGCGCCGAGCATCGTCGAGTGACGAGCTCTGTGCATATGTATATGATTTCATATGTATGTAAGCACTGCAGCGCGCGCGGGAGATGCCGAGATGTCAATTCCGAAAACAACAAAGGGCCGCTCGCTCGCTCGCGCGAAAAAAAAAATAACGCGGAGGCGGATCGGACTGCGCAACGCGTATACACCGCGGAGAAAGATGGAAATCAAACTCGAACTCTGCACAGTACGTATGTAATGCGTATACGTATGAATGTACGTATGCGTGCATCATCGGCGCCGTTTACAGCACGGGAGAAAGCTTACGAATTTTTTCATCCTCTCGGTTATTGTGTGTACTCGCTCTGTGTACCGCATAACATGATTTTGACGACGATAAGCCACGAGAGCCTCGAAGAATTGGCTTTTGAATCGGCATCGACATTAATTCAACGTTCAAAAGTTTATCCTTCGCGAACAACAACGGGCTCCTATCCATTTCTCGCATTAACCAAAAGGCGTTAAAAGACTCGTAATTAGCATCGTTTCGCGTCAATGAGATACTTAATCCATCAAAACCCCCCGATGAACCGCTCAATTTATAATAATCGTTCATTCTTCTACCAACCATTGTCCAAAATACCATAAAAGCCGGTCCATTATAGAGAGAGAAAAAGCCAATCAAGTTTTCACTTATCGATTAATCACAATCTATAATTTTTTTTTTGTTCGTTTTCGCGTTACATTATACGTCGATGTACTCGTTTTCATGCCTACTTGGTCATTTTTATTAAATCGCAATTCCCGATTCGGAGTCGTGTGAAAATTCTGCTCGTATGAAAGTGAGGGTGTGCGCTCTATCGAGCTGATATTCCTTTTTTATTTACCACTAATAAAGCATCGAGAGAAAGCACCGAATGAAAAGTGGTTGTCAAACGCTTCGATCGGCTTATGAGCTGAATTAATTTTTTATCCATATAACTGGGAACTTTTCAGAGCACGTCGTTTTTCCGATAAGTTAATTTTTGAACTTTTAAATTTTTTGTACTATAGTATCGTTTATACAGAAATTATTATTGTTGACGAAATTCTAAGTGAGAAAGATGGCCTCTAATGACTTATTCAATTGCGCTCCAAGGTAATTTTTATTTTCTAAAAATGAAATAATGAAAATGTTACAGTATAATAACTTATCTCATTGGAATTATTGCAGAGTCAAAGAGGAACCCTCTGATGTGACTCTTATTAAAAATAAAAATGAAATAAGTGACAGAGCACCCGAAGCTCAAAAATATCAATTCTCATGTTTTCGGCAAGAAAATTCAGTAAGTGTTGATTGATTATAATCGTATATTATTTTCACTATTTTTAACATAAATTTTCATGAATCTTAAATTTTATTTCTAGACTTATACGCCTCAAGGATATGATGATAATATTGAGCGTAATAGCGAAATTGAAATAAAATTTGAATGTGAGGACTTTAAGCCCAACATAAACTTGACAATTAAGAAAGTTGAGGATGCATCCCCAGAACACTGGCAGAATTTGAAGTATAGCAATAATTATCAAAGTCAAGAAAATATTAAAACAGAAATTGTGGACGAAGTAAAAAAAGAAATGAATTTGAACATCGAACTCGATCATGCACTTAATCTAAGTGGAAACAAAATTATGCAGACGGAACACCTCGAAACTCGCGCCGATAATGTGTATAATGGTGTCAAACACAAACGTGAAATCTGTGGAAAGAAATCCACATCTAAGAAAAATCGTAAAATCCACATCGACGAAGAGCATAGTGGTATCACACGTACACGCAATATGTGCAAGAAAAAATCTTCAACTAAAAATGACCTCAAAAAATTAATCAAAGGAATGCATAATAGTACCACTTATGCATGTGACACATGCGATAAGACATTCAGACATAAACATAGTTTGAAAGTCCACATTGACTCCGTGCACATTGGTATCACATATTCATGTACTAGTTGCATGAAAAAATTCTCAATAAAGGCAAATCTCAATTACCACATTAATACGGTGCATAATAAAAAAACTCACGTATGTGATACGTGTGGAAAATCATTTTCACAAAAAGGTCATCTCAAAATTCATATTGCTACGGTGCACAATGAAATCACTTACGAATGTGACATATGTAAAAAAAACTTTCCAAGTAAGTATTATATCAAACGCCATATTGATTCGGTTCATAAGGGAACCATTTATGCATGTGATATATGCAGTCAAACGTACATACATAAAAGTAGTCTCAAAGTCCACATCGAGTCGGTTCATTACGGTATTACATATCCGTGTAATAAATGTGGAAAACTATTTAGCCAAAAAAGCAATCTCTACGCCTATATCAGTACGGTGCATAAAGATAACCAATATGTATGTGATATATGCGGAAGGAAATTCAATCGTAAGAGCAACTTAAAAGTCCATGTTAATGCAAAGCATGTGGGTATTAAACATGCATGTAATGAATGCGGAAAAATATTTAACCAATATAGCAGTCTCTACAAACACATCAGTACAGTTCATAAAGGTAACCAATATGTGTGTGATATGTGCGGAAAGATATTTAAAACAAAGGACAACGTAAAATGTCACATTACTGCAAAACATATGGGTGTTAAACATGCATGTGATATTTGTGGACAGAAATTCACAAGCAAGGGTTATCTTAAAAAACACATCAATAGGTACCATTCACGCATTGTGACCAAATAAATGATAAGAAGAAATCCATCATATTATAATAATTGTTTTTAACACATTTTAATTTTCTCTCACTACGTGTAAAACAATCAATTTTTAAGAAATTCAATAAAATTTTTGTGGTAAAATAAACATATTGCTTCGTTTGTTTCAATCCAAATATCATATATAAATTTTTACAGTTTTTTGTGATCGGTGTACAGACAGTAAAACAAATTCATGCCGAACGTGTGATAGAATGGCTCAATGCGGAACGCTTCCATAGTTGAAATTAATACTTGAAATTTGGTCTTATCCTGCAAAAATTCGACTTTACGCGCGTGCAAGTATGTAACGCACGCGACGTTACATCGAATGAACGAAAAGTCATTACGCAATTTTCTTTACATTCGAGCTTAAATTATATCATACGCGCACCGGCGGCGGCGTCGGCGGCGGTGTGCGCTGTGTGTCTCGGAACCCAATCATCATCCATCGAGGCGCGCAATACCCAACCGACTTTCTCCGAAAAAAACACCCAAAACAAAAAAAAAAAAAAAAACAAAAAATAAACGAATGTGACTNAAAAAACAGCGACAACAACAACGTCAATTTATATCGGACATGCACTATATAAGTACACACAGACACACACACACAAACACGCATGAGCCCCAAAACAGGCCCTCCTCAAAAAAAATATGTGTCGTGAGAAAAAAAAGCTTTATTATTTTTTTCTCCTCTTGCTCGCGCGGAGCCCGTTCTTATTGCTAAGTGTATAAAATAATGTACGCGAAATATCAAGACCCGATGAAAGTACCGTTTAATGAAATCGCCGCCGAACCGACGAACGAGTATTTCACTCGCTCGCTGCAATGCGTTTGTATATATACACATCGCTCGGGCCCTG